ACTTTGTATACGAGTTTTATCATTTTACCATTCTTCAAATTACCACTTTCTTTATTTTATTATATGATTATGATGGGTTGATAGATGCCATATCTTTCCCTATCAGTACTCAACCTCACGTAACGCAAGCCACGAAAAGTAAAAACTTTGTTTATTTTTTTTTTAATTATAATATGAATGGCTTGCATTTAATTATTGTAGAGAGAGAGATTTAATTTCAAAACATGAAAGTTTATCCGAAGAGTCATCTAATCCTGAAACAGAAACTAACAGCAATAATGTTAGTTAATACCACGCCCTGATTTTCTTGCACTCTGTTCGATTATGCTGAGATTTGACCACGTATTTTCTTTTCTGGATCCACTTATTTCCCTAGTAAGTGAGCCCTGTACCTACTTTTGGACATTAACAGGAAATTAATCATGATCCACTTATTATTTTTTTATCATCAATTATGGCCAAGGAGATCCATAAGTATTGAGGTCTTGGTTTTTCTTTCATGACTTCAATAAAAATGAACTGGTTTTCCGAAATTGAGTTACATAAATAAAAATATTTTACTTAATTTCCTGCAAGAAAAGTGAAATCACACTCATGATCTGAAATTTTTGGTGACCAACACCTGTTATTACCAAATTCAACATGAAGATGCTAATGGCTAGAAGCAGATTTTAAAGGAAGACTGCATCAGGCACTGATTGGGTTTCACTGTTTCAGTCTTGGAAACAAAGCTACCGACTAAAGTAAATGTGTTTTTAAAATCTTCCCAGAGTTGCTAACATGTCACTGTCCAATGCATAGATAGGCCAAATAATTGAGAGTCGTTTCTGGTATCAATGCTTGCAATTTTCAATTGTCCTTTTCTGATTAGTATAGTCACAGCCATCAAAGTTTTTTTTATAGGCTAAAGTTAAAAGCTCCCTCCAATTATATGAGCATCGGGTTCTATTGACGAGCAGTAACTAGCAACATTAATAATGGCAAGTCGCCTCGGGTTCTATTGACGAGCAGTGCCTAGCAACATTAATTTATTGTGGTAGCATCGCATGAATCGTGATGGGAAAGGAGTAGCCAAGAGCTATAGTATTTGTATGAGTTGTGAAGATCCTATTGAATTGATGAATGCATTGGAGACGGATAAATATTATTATGAAGATAAACTATCAAGTGCAGACTCAGAGGACTATTTCAAAGGGAAAAGGTTTATTAAAGATATGGAGAAAAGGATGATGTTCACTGTAAGAGTAATTAGATGGATGAAATGTATGGAAGTTTGATCCAAGACATTTCAATAGAGTTTTGAAAAGTTCGAAACCTTAAAAAATAACATGGTGTAATTAAGGTACGCCTTTATGTGTTTTAAATATTTCATTAATCATGTTATGACATATAGTCACAATGAAATTTAAAACTCAACCCAAGGACAATAGAAATATTGATCACTACTGATAATCACATTCTAAAAAAGATGGAGAATAATTGTTATAGTGATGGTAAAAAGAATGCTTTGTGAATTGAAGCCTTCTTGATAAGAATAAGAGAATGGAAGAAACTATTCCTGATTTAAACAAACTTATATTCATATATAGTTTGAATATGTGAAAACATTTTGTTGAAAATAAGAAATTGATCTTAATTATTTAAATAATGTTTTGTTCTTGTGATGGAAAATTTGAATCAAGGATTTTCATAATGTCAAAAGTAGTGTTATGTTATTGATTGATGTTAAGTTTTTTGTTTTATTATATTATATATAAACTTTTGGCATGTATTTGTTTTTGTCATGACGTGGTATGCTTTATATATATGATTATGGATAGTACAAACATATGCTCATGTTTGAAAATTAAAATTTTTTGTAAATATGAAAATTAAAATTATGTGTAAATACATCTTTGAGATGGTTATATAATTGTTTATGCATGAGACATGAGAGATAAGTTTTTGATGTCTTATAAAGCACTGAAGCTTGGTTGTTCAAAAGAACAAGTTTTATTACAAATTCATATAGATTATTTGCAAGTTTTAGTGCCTATGTTCAAGAGTTTGATACAAGAAATTTTATGAATATATATGTTGCAATGATCTTTTAATTTTGAAATGTTTGAAGTCCAAAAAACTCTTGGTATATTTGATTTTCACTATGAACCAATTCTAAAAAGTATATATATATATATATATATATATATATATATATATATATATATCATTACTAAAGTGAATAGGGATGGTAATGGACGGGTATTAGACTCACTAATTCAATTTTTTATCCTATCTATAAAAACAATAAATCCATTACCCATTAAGAAATCATTATATAAATATTGACTTAGCTTATACCGACTCACATTAGTTTATCCACTTATTTAATACTCATTTAATAAATGCTAAAAATAATTTGTTAAAAATATGTATTTTAGTCCATACAATTTTCAATAAAGAGTTTCTTGGTCCTTTATTTATTTATTTATTTATTTTGCATTTTGATCATTTATTTATAAGTTTTTTTGGTTCTCCAATTTTTTGAAAAAAATATTTTGGTCTTGAAGTTTTAAAATTTATACAATTAGATCCTTGTATGTTAATAAAAAAATAAAATAAATTAGTAAATAGTAATAAGGTAAATAGTGAGTATTCATACCTTGAAATCATATTAGTGGATAAGTATTTTTTTACTATTATCCACTTCAATACTCATTGAAAATTTTCAAGTAGTATTTATTAAGCCGGTAAAACCAATACTCATTTTAAACCCGGCCTATTGCCATCTCTAAAAATGAGTGTAACGGTAAGGAATAGAATGTTAAAGTTTTGATTTCGGATGTATTATAATAATTTTATAAATATTTGATGTGAAATGAAATGTGGTATATGCATTCCTTGTTAAATATGTCAATTCCTAATGTTTAGTTGACAAATATAAATTTATTTGTGATAACATTTTGTAATTCAATGTTAATATATCTAGAAATTGAAATTTGTATTGTCATATTCATTAATATTTTATGATACTTATACATTGAGTCATTTGAGTGAAAGATTAAGTATTGGTGTTTGCATTTGTGATTATCAAAGAAAATAAACATGTTGCGTAAAAAATAGAGAAAGGTGGATTTTAATTTCTATGGAATTTTTCTTCTTTATGAATAGAAGAAAATCATACATCGAATAAGTACAGATTAATCCGCGATAAAAATGAATTAGTAGAAAGAAAAAATAGAACATTCATGATGATAGTTAATGCCAAGTTGTCAATTAATCTTCAAGAAGAATTATTATTAACAATTTGTTATGCTAATAATAGAATACATTCGAAGAAAGGTAAAATATCTCCATATGAAGTATTGAGAAGAATGAAGCTTAACATAATCTATTTTTAGAGTATGTGGTCGTTTAGCTTGTTGTAGAGTTTTTGAGCCACAATAAGCAAAGTGAAAGGCACCCAAGTTTAAGTGAAATGAGCTCTGATAGTTTAACAAGTATTCATATATAATTTTTTTTTTAATAATTGTTTTTATTCTGTTCGTTCGACATAAGAGTAATGAATTAATTTAGGCATTTAAATCTAGAATACCCTGGAAGATTAAAAAAAAAACAAAAACAAAGTGGGAGTCGAAATACCTAAAGGGTATTTTTATGACATATGTTGGACATTCTAAACATATGAGTTACTACAAATTAATGCTTTTTTTTTTTTTCTGTTTTGTTTTTCGATTTTTATGTTTCGTTTTTTCGGTGTGTCTGTATATATGGGAATATCCATTAGTTCTGGAATATCACATCCGATTTTGTTTAGATACCTTTAATCATATACTAAAAATCCTTTTATATCCGTCTTCATCCAAAGATATAAATGCAGAGCTCCACCAAGACGTATATAATGTTATGTCTAGCCAAAAAGTTTGAAATATATCCTAGCGCATGGCAGAAAAATATTTCCAAATCATACGGCTACAAACTTACAAGCAGGAATTTAAGAGTTGGGTGGGGAAATCTAAGTCTTCCATAAAATAGTCCCATCATTGCGCTGGTGGTGTTCGTTGAGAGAATCGACGATCTTATTAAATGCTTACACACGAGACAAAAAACCAAAACAAAAACAAAATGGTATAATTGAAAAGTTTGTTGTTTTTGAGTGAATTCATTGGCAACTTAGTTTTTACAGAAATCCACCGTAGAACAGCTATATCGCGTTAAAACTTGAAACAGACATCATGGGCCATCAGATAGACCTTGAGATTCTCGTGGAACCCACGCAATTATCCGCGCAGAAAGACTTATTCCTTGTCTTTAATTGCTACTATCTTAGTTGGGTTTGATTGCAGGACCGAAAGAAGAAAATCTTGCTAGCCTAATCCTAAAAGGGCCCAGAATCACTCTTCTAAATGGACCACAAATTCCACTTAATAAGGAAAGTTTTTTTCCCATCACCAGCCTCTTTTGTGCAAAAACTAATACACATGTTCTCGTTCGAAGCCCCAGAGAGAGCATACTCTTCTATCTTTAAATTGAAGTCCTGGGACCACTTTCGCGCAAATTTAGCCTGTGTGACCACTTGAAGTTCGACTCTGGTCACTCTTCTTCCAACAAGGCCCAAATTCATAACCTAAGCCCGATAGCCCAGCAACAAAGGAACTTCCATGTCTACGACACCCAAAGCTCACACACCAACTCTGCATTGTGGTCACGCAAATTGCTCTCATCACCAGATTCAGCTGGCACGCCAGGCACAATCTGCCCACCGAACCTGCTCCACCGCTCCTAGAAGCCTAAAAGGTGAAATTCCTATATATAGCTTCAGGCCACTACCACTACCACTACCTTGCTTGCCTAGCTAAACACTGTCACTGGGGTCCATCCAAGCTCATTAAATAAGAGAGAGGATAATTGACACTAAATCAGATTTTCCTTTTACGTTTCACCTCCTCGTCCGTGTTGTTTTTTCAAGAGCAAGGTTGGCTCTTTGTTAAGGTGCAATTGTTTTTTGTGTGAGAGGAGGCATGGGGAGACAACATGTGGTGTCTTCGCTTCTCATCCTATTAGGATTCGGGCTTTGTTGTTATGTGCTCACTGAAACAAAGAGAGAAGGGAGATTGGGGGACAGGAGTTATATGGACCATGAGATGAAACGTGTACCCGGAGTCAAAGCTGGATATCGGTTGTTTTCTGGTGGTTACGGTGCAGGTTCAGGCAGTGGCTATGGACAAGGGGGTGGACGAGGCTATGGTAGTGATAATGGCTATGGGCCGGGAAGTGGAGGTGGGGGCTTTGGCACTGGCAGGGGCTACGGCAGTGGCAACGGGAATGGTGTGGGCCAAGGTGGTGGGTCTGGTGTTGGCTGGGGTGGCGGCTTTGGAGCTGGGTCTGGTGGGGGTGGTAATGGTGGAGGAAACGGATATGGCTCGGGGGATAGTGGTGGAGGAGGTGGGGGATATGATCACAACAATGTGCATAGCACTGGTTCTGGATCAGAAAACTGATCTTGATAAGCAGGAGAATAAGGATGAAATGTAGAATTACTAATATCCCTAGTGTCGTTAAGCAGGAGAATAAGGATGAAATTTCTCCAAATTAAGTGGCTTTTTACGCACTCTCAAGTCAGTTAGTCAATGGTTAGCACCATGCTCTAATAAATAGCAACCTTCTACATTAACCAGTGCTAGTGTCATCCATCGCCGCCACAAAGAGTATGGAAGCCATCCCTATCAATTGGGCACGGTTACCACATCATTAGCTTGGGTTATTATTCGTTTCCGAATCACTTGAAACGAACTCTAATTTGTTGTGCATTTTCAAAGAATGGGAAATTAAAATCAAAGATCCCTTAGAACAACTCTGGTGAACCAAAATCATGAGCTCACAGTGCACCCAAATGGTCTTGGTCATGTAAGCTGCCATACCAGCAGCCACGAAATTCTGCAAATTATTTGACTGATCCATTTTTCTATACTCATTTGGGCTGTACAGCGGATAAAAAAAAAGGCTTATCTTGGTTAAGCATGTCTAAACTCCAAGTGAATAACATCCACCCTGTTTCATCTATATCCCAATCAACATCGAGGGATGCCCCATATTATTGAAGTCCGAATGCTTGGGAAGAAAAAGGAATCTGTAACTTGCCAAAAAAAAACAGAGAGACAAAAGGCAAGTACTTTCCCTCCCAACAATTCCAAGCGTGAGGAGCACTTCAATTGCATGTGAAAGTATTCTCAGTAACAAGTATTTGACAAACAGCAATCGCATAATTAGTGCAAAACTCTTGACATGTTCCTTTCACGTAATTCCAACATCACTTAATATTTTTTCAGGGATTAGAATTAAAAAGTTGTCAAACAAATACCCAGAAAGACTGGCATAAGCATGCTCAAGTCTCAACTGTGCCTCAGAAAGAATGGTGCATAAACCTCATATTATAATTCAATGATCCCAACCAGCTGGGTAATCAACCGTGGGACATACGTACATGTTGTATATTTACAGATGCATCAATGCACAACGCATAAATGTTATTAGTATCACACAATGCATAGTTCACTTCTAAGGACAGATAAATGATACTATAAACAGGCAAGAACCTTACATACTTGAAACACAGATTATACTTAGCAACAAGAATTAGTCTTGTTTTTGGTCAAGCCAAAGGAGAACAGCTCCACGGTTGGAGATATCAAGCAGCAGAGCAATGCTTGTCATTCTCAGGCCTGAAAATTTTCAGATTAAATTGGTTACGTGCAGCCCTATGGCTTGTATATTGAGATCATTGCAAGCATGACCTTTAAATAAGAAAGAAATGGTGGTAAGACTACATGAAAATCCATTAGAGCAAGGCAGGGATATGACCCAAGTCATGGACAGCAGATTCCCCATGGATTGCCACTAGCAATTGTCTATTTACAGATGACAGCCAAATAAGAATCTTCTAAGAACTGATTTCAATAAGTGACAGAAACAAGAAACTTTTCTCATAAGAATGTGATGATGCAAGAATGATCATAATCTACAGATTTTCCCAAAAATCTGTTATGTTATATTTATAGCGTGATGCCTGTGATTTCTTTTTCAACAGTAAAAAATATTCCTTGAAGGGATCATCACATTATGATAAATGACATCAAATGAAGATTTCGGTAAAACACTTTCTACCCTTCTACCATGCAAAACATGGAAACTGCACTAATCATTTTGTCCTACGAAACTAACAATGTTCTTTTCAAAACCCTTTCAGGAACCGGCAAGTTCCTTCAACAGCTTAAGAGAATAAGGCACATGGAAGAAAATGCAATATGCATGAATTAACAATTTTTACCCTGTTATCCAGGTCTGAGCGCCCAGTCAGGTCCCTTTCTTCAGCAACAAGCTTCAGTTCTGGATTCCTACATGTCCTACATGAGATACCAATGACAGTATCATGGTATAATAATAAGCTAAGGAAAAGACAAAGAAACGAGACTAATAAATAAAGGAATAAAGGGCAAAACCCAAAATAGGCAAACATTCAGGACATACATTTCATCTGTAAAATTTGGTTGACGGAATGAAGATGTACTTATATCTGGAGTCACGGCAACAGGATTTGCCACTTCAGATGATCCTGGTTTATCTTCTCCCTGTAAAATGAAATTGCCAGAGATTCTGTTCAAAGTCATTATAGGAAACATGAGTGCTTTTCGCTGCAATGGAAAATACCTACACTAGGTTTGGCTTCCATCCACCCTGGGGCTCTATCCGATACAAGGGCAATATACTGCTCCATAGCCGCCTCTGGACTCATGTTTCCCAGCCTTTGCCAAGCATTCCTTGCACAACGTAACCAGTGCCCTCGATCACTCAAACATAGCAGCTGTCAACCCTGTTATTATAACTAACTATCAAACTATACCGTGTAATTTTTTGGTATAGGCAGCCCCTAAGGTGTTGTTCTGTGTGTTCATTTTCTTTTTCTTAGTTACACAATTCCCCTAGCAAAAGATTATAGCTGATGGCTGCCATAATCTTGCATTTTGTTTGCTAAGCTGTCTGGATTTTTGACCATATTCAAGAAGTTGAACCAATAGCAGTAAAACTACCTACGGTAGAGGGAAAGGAATAGGACCAAACCAATCGAGAAAAGGTTGGAGCGGCAAGAGCAACATCTCTAAGTTTCCAAATAAGGACAAAAGGGGCATTGATATTATCTGTTTTTTATACAAGAAAGTACTACGGTAGACCCAAGCAACTGAAGCAAGGTGGGAAACGGACAAAAAGGCCATAAAAACATCATTTATAATACTACCTATCCAAAGGTGGATTTCTAATGATTTCCATGTGTTCGTTTTCTTTTCTTTCCTTTAAAAAAATAAAAAAAATCAGGCTCAAACCTTGTTTGACAACATCCATAATGGGCAATCCCAATTGTTCGTCTCTTACTGAAATCTATAATGTGCAACCTCCCTCAATTTAATTCACCGGTATTTTCATATTCTTGATCTACATTTCGTAAATTTTCACTTTGTGTATCGTTAAACCATAGTCTCTTACCTAAGACTATCTTATCCTGTCCCCTCGCAAGATTTAAAACCTCAAATGAAAAATCGTTTATCTGCTCTCATTCAGTCAATTTAACAAACAAGAAGCGAATCATAACCAAGCAAATAAAAAACAAGCAAGCACAGACATCAAGTTAATTTAGGAAAGCTTAATACCACTTGGCACGAGCAGAAACCTTGAGAGCCATGGGAGGCTGCTCGCGGCAAGGCCCCTCGGTAGCAACCTTATGAAGTCCATACAACTCCATTTGGACATCAGTCCCTACACTTGCCAATCTCTCATCTTTATCTCCTGACTCCTCAACAAACTTTGCCGCTTCTCCAAATATTGTCTCCATTTCACTCCTTTCTATCCCTTCCCAATCATCATCTTCATCATCATTAACTTCAACCTCTTCAATCTTCTCTTTTGAATCAGTCTCAAAAGTCCCAATCTCCTCCTCAACAACATTTAATTCAATGCCAATCGGTTCTTCTTCTCTGTTTTCTCTAATTGAACCAACCAAATTTACTTGTTTGACCTCTTCTTCATCAAATTCACCTCCTTTTACCTCTTCTTCATCAAAGTCACCTCCTTTTAACTTGTCCTCTTCTTCTTTCAAAATTGCCTCGACCAATTCTTGAGCCAATTCATGAGCCTCAGTTTCAGGTAGTATCTCGTCGCGATTCGCTGACTCTTTAACGTCCTCGACAGCAGAAATTACTGCAACAAATTCATCGACCTTTTCTGTTAATTGTTCAACAAATTCTGTTCTCATTTCGCTCTTAAGCCCCTCAACTTCCAATCTTTCACGGAGCAGTAACTCCTCCGTCATCACTTTTTCTCTTTCTTCACCGACAATATCTGCTGCAGTAACTTGTCGATCAACATTTTTACTTTGAGAATCGTTGCTAGAATCACCATTAGACATAGCCATAGAAACAAGTTTGGCTATAAGAAAAGAGAACAAAACAGCAATAACTGCAGTCACAAACAATTCTTTAACAAGCTCCATCTTTGATCAGAGCAAAAGGATAGAGAAAGGAAGAACAACTAGGAGATGGTTTTTCTTTTTTCTTTTTGGATTTTTGACGGGGAGAGAATGGAGAACACACAAGTATTAAAGGGATCGAAACAGAGGAAGAGGAGAGGGAAAGGATATTTGCAGGGAAGAGCAAAGCATATTCTGCTGCTGCGGTTTGCTTTTTGTTAAGTTTATACGGCAGTGTGGGTCCCTAATGGGCTAACATTGGTGTTATTACAATATAAATATACTAATTTTTAGTCTTTTCACAGTCAATAAATTTTAATTTTTTTAATTTAAATATATTAATTTTTTCAAAACTATTAATTAAATGCTTATATCAATTTTTTGTTAATTAATAATATATTCGTTATCCTCAAAATATTAAATTATAATTTTATTTTTTAATAGAATGCATGAATTTTAATTTTTTCAGATTAAGTATATTAATTTTTTAAAAAATTATTAATCAAATATTTTCATTAATTTGTTAATTAATTGATGACGTGTTTGACTACTAAATTATATTTTTTCATCTTTTGTTGTAATAAATTTTCTCATTTAAATTATTCTATCATTTTAAAATTTAACAAAGAATTAAAATTTTTATTTTTAATTATAAAATCTCGAATTAAACTTAATAAGTCTTGTTGTTAAAAAAAAAAATTATTTTGGTTTTTGGTATGAGATTGAAGGAAACTCAAATGTTATATTTTTCATTAAAAAGATTCATTTGTATTTTTTTTAATTTTTATTTTTAAACCTAATTGATTTTTTTTCTTTTTTAACATTAAACTAATTGAGTTTGGTTTGAAAATTTATAAATAAAAATAATTATTTTAATTGTTTATCAAATTATAAAATAATAAAATAGTTTGATGAGAAAGTTTTTTTCAACAAAAATAAGATAAAATTAGAATTTCGTATTCAAATACATACCTAATTAATGAAAAAAATTATCAAAATACTTAATTGATAGTTTAAAAAAATTGACGTGCTCAAATAAAAAAAATTAAAATTTAAATACTAGATTAAAAAAGGTAAAATTATAATTTGATATTTTAAGGATACAAGACATGTCATTATCATTTAACAAAAAAATTAATATAAATACTTAATTGATAATTTTTTAAAAAATTAATGTATTAAAAAAATAAAATTTATATATTTGAATACAAAAATTAAAATTTGGTATATTAATAGTGTAATTATTCCCGCTAATACTATGCTGCTACGTTGTGAAAGTCACGGAGGTTGTCTGAAAAGTGCACAATCAGCCAACGGTACCCATTGGGACTCGGCTATATCTGGCTATTTGACCTCACTCGCCGTTAAGATGCGTATTTTGTTTTACCATCACTTGTTATTCTTGGATCAGCAAGCAAGACAGGCTGATCACGTTCTTCGAAAATCACTGCTCCTCCAAGCTGAAAGGTTTATATTTTATAAAGAATGTTTTTATAGGATACAGTTCTTTTATTTTTAAATTCTTCTGAAATAAGTTTACATTCTCAAAGAAAACAAAATACAAATCAGTATAATTTTGAAACAGCAAAAGAAAAGTGCGTTTGCCAACGTGTGTCCAGAAATTCATTTCTTTGACAAATGGGATGGAAATTTAGGGTAGCACTGGCACCTGTTGATGGTCAAATTTTCAAAAGAGTAATAATCGTAAAAGCAAATAAATTATGGTTTCATTTTTGGCATTCATGAGTTTGAGTACACGTCCTATCTTGACTGGCTCAATAAGTCCAGAGTATATGAAGGAACCGATGTTTGATCATCGATATATTCATCATTTAGCCTTGCCGAGTTAACGAATTTCTTTTATTCAACATTGCTTGTATTTTTTCTTCGAATATCTTGATGCACTGGCGTGCTTATCTCAATCTATGTGGCAGTGATGACTGCAGGTAAAGGCATCTTCCTTTAATAATGAAGGTGGGTTGCAAAAACGAAAAATAATAAAATGATAATAGTGGATAGGTTTGGAATGTGGGCCTTGTGGTTTGCCCCCCGGACAAGTATTCATAAATGATTCCAGGAGTCCAACACAAACCTAGTTTCAAAGTTTTGAAATTTTCACGCAAGTTGAAAAATCACGATAAATGAATTCCAATGGTGTAATTGACCAAAAAAAAACGAGGAAGAAGAAGAAAACTTGTCTAGTGACTGAAGTAAGCCAAAAATATTGAGCGGGATTCAAAGCCGAAGGACAAATGAGGACATGGGCCAGAGCCTACTACTTTAGAACTTTCAACTTGGACCAGAGTTTTCCTTCAAGGATACTAGGTCAGTTGTTCATTAAAATGAAAGACTGCGGGCCAAGTCAGATTAGTTTCAGCCGGGCCTTCCTAGGGTATTGGACTCTTACATACGTGAGCGGAGATTTGGACACTGGAGAATGGTCTTGCTTGTTGAAGGACCGATGATGAAGAGTCATCGCTAAATAAATCTCCGATTGGTCAATTGACGATGGAAATACCTTTGCAGTTCCTGCTGAAGAAGCATTTCTTTTTTATAACATTTTTCCAAACTTTGTTGATAATAACTTATGATCGCCCAGACCAAGATAATCCCCAAATTGAAATCAATGCCTGCTTTGTTATGCACTGATATGATAAGGATTTCGATTCCCCGTGCTCCTTTGTTTCTTTGCTTATATATATAAAAGAAGATTAATCAATTGAAGCCTTCAGTGATAAATGGAGACTAAAACTGAAATGAATATCTAATACCTTGACAAATATAGAAAATGGCTCTCAAAAAATGTATCTTTACGTTCTTTATTCAATAAACTAAAATGAATATTGAAATTTTCACAAAATCAAAAGAAAAAAAAATTCTCCTCCGTGAAACAAAAAAAAAAAAAAGCCCAAAAGAGAGTTATATAGCTGGCTAAAAGGAAAACAAATATAAGAAGAGAACCCAAATCTTTTAGATAATGGATAGAATATAAATATTGTTAAATTATATCCATTAACATATAAGAACACACGAAACAATAAGTATTCATTAAAAAAAAAAAAACCTTTATCCGTTATGGTTGGTTCCAATAACATCCATTAGATTTGAATTAAATTGTCGTCCCCACCTCCAACCCTCCAAAAACACCAAAGAAAACTGCTGTGCAGGATCCATTGAATGCCTATCAAAAACCCAACCACGACGAATCCAGCAAAACCAAAAGAGTAATGACAATAGAAAGAGTTGGAGTGAAAAACACTGAGCAGATCCCAATTGGGAAGCTGACCCCGATTTTATTGGAAAAACGGTCTAACAGGTGAGACTCACAAAGGATCACTTTTCTATACTTCCATTTTCAAACTATGCTAACACATGTCCCCCGCATTGATAATACATATATTCTCATAACTTAAATGTTAAGTTTTTAAGTTCTCTTCTATAATCAATATTTGATAAATTTTTAATTCATGTTCTTTAAGGGTTGTCGTTGTTTTATTTTATTTTTTTATGTGTACGGAGACATAAATAAATAAATAAAAACAAATACACATATCTTTATATTGTTAAATATTCAAATATTATATAGCTATTATAATCAATTATTGGTTTTTTTTTTTTGTTGCACAGATTGAAGATAAATAGATAAGCAGTCTACATAATAAACTTTAATATATCCGGATATAATAATAACAATAATAAATTAAAATTTAGAATGAAATTATAAGAAATAAAAAAAATTAACAAACTTTTAATATATATCAAAATAGTAATATGTCTCATCATTGTCATCTCGTCATCCACACTTATAATTAATGTAATTGTTACTATTTTGCAATCATCGCCGTGATTACTTAACTATTGTTTTTTCCATTTTCAATGTCATCTTGTTATCAACATAACTATTGGTATAAAAACATTGATTAAAATACTATAAATGTGAAAAAAAAATCAAATCATTTTTTACATTAATTTACACTTAAAAAAAAACACGCAATATATATATATATATATATATATATATATATATATATATATATATATGAAAGCTCACAGCACGATTTTTAATTTGATTTTAAAAAATATATTTTGATAAATATTCACTCAAAGGTTTTGATTAAAAAAAAAACCATCAATTTTTTCTCCTAACAGCACATTAGTGCACGTTTTTCATGTGATGTAAAAATAAAAATTTTAAATACACGTGTATTTATGTCATTAAATATCGCATGTTGATTAGTTAGAAATAAAAATTATACAAGTATTCCACGTGAAACTTATTTACATGACATGTTATCAAAAAATTATTTTAACCAAATAACTTAAACTATTAAATTTTTAAAATATGATTTTATATGATTTTCTCCCCTTAAATAGAAGTCAGCTTTTAAAAAAACACTATTGTTACATAATTAACAAAGTTTAAAATCATATCAAAAGATCATCTAAATCCAATAATTTAAACTGTTATTTTTTTCACTTTCATTGTCATCTTGTTGTCAACATAACTATTGTTAGAAAAACATTGATTAAAATACTATAAATGTGTAAAAAAGTCAAATTCATGTATTATAATAAAATTTTTCAACAGCTCGAAGGGACACTGAAATTAGTTAAACTAGTGTTTGATACATTTTGATTGCCTTTTTTTTTTACACTTAAAAAAAAAACATGCAATGTGTATCTTAACATAAAAGCTCACAACAATATTTTTAATGTGATTTAAACAAATATATTTTGATAAATATTCACTCAAAGGTTTTGATTAAAAAACAATTAATTTTTTTCTCCTAATAGCACATTAATGCACGTTTTTTCATGTAATATACAAATAAAAATTTAAATACACATGTATTTATATCATTAAATATCAAATGTTGATTTAGTTAGAAAAAATATATATTATACAAGTAATTCACGTGAAACTTATTTACATGATATATTATCAAAAAACCATGACCTAATAGCTTAAATTATGATATGCCACAAAAAAAATGGTCTTATATGATTTTCTAACAAATTTTACTAAAATAAAAACCTTTTGGGTTTTAAAAATTTGCTCAAACTCATATTACAACTCAGTCAACAACACTCGGATATCATGTTAAAATATTATTTTAACTCAATAATTTAAATTGTTAAGTGAGATTTCAAAAATAATTTTATTTTAACATATATTATTAAAATTTCCATGATCATTTCTTTTGTTTTCAATGTATATAATTGCTGTTCTGATTTAAGGTTAAAACGACTTGTGAATCAAGATTTCTAAATTTTACCACTTTGATAGAAACCGTTGCATTTTTAATGGGAGGTGGACTATTAAAAGCGAAATAAATATATTCCAGCTAACGTGGAGTAATGTTATAAATTCATGGGTCACCGTTTCAAATTTAATGCTCGTGTCTGAACTCAGCCACCGTCCAGCAGCGGTTCTTCCCGAGGTAAAAAGGGCCAATGTCAAAGACCCAAAAAAATTAAAGGCGTGCTGGTAATCGCTATTGGTTGGGCCATTTATTAGGAGGTTCTTGGTGCTGGATTGCACGGGCTCACCACTCATGCGTGCTCTTTTTCAGAAGCCTCATCACCAATGTACGCGAACCAGCACAAGTTATAAGTGAGCTCCAGCTGTGTGGTTTATCTTGACAAAACTCGCGCACTTAGCTATCTGACATTAATCAGTCCACGAAATTAAGCATCTCATCATGGACCTGTTTTCTGAAATTTATGAGTATCAACTTAAGATCTGATCAGTGAAGGACTCTCGGTCTTGGACTATTTTTGTCTAAACTGGCCCAAAAATAATAGGAAGAAAGAAATTATGGATTTGGTTTCTTCATAGTTATCAGCTACAAAAATGTATAATCAAGAACTTGATTTTCAAATACACACGTGATTGAGTTTTTTTTTTTTTTTTTGCATCCACTATCTCCTACTAAAAACAATTGGGTGTGAACTTTTTTATGGACTTTATCCATAAATCAGCTTCCATGAGGCGACATTGACACACCCCTAAAAGTCCTCCACCTACTCCGAGTCATGCGAACAGGATCCAAGCGTGCCTTCAACGAAGTTTCTAAGCAACTCCCTCGTGATCATTCAAGTACCAAAAAAAAAAAAAAAGTCTCCATCCCAGTTCCCATCCTGATCCGACCCACCTTCCCGCAAACGCATGAAAATACGACGTCGTTCTAAAGTCCTTTCGGTCCTTTTCTTATTTCTCCTTATAATAATTGGCTATCTTCTCTGGCTCCCACTGGGCTGTGAATATAAATAGGGTATTCTATAGGCAAAGTTTGCCGTCGTGTCCTCTCCTCTCTTGAAGCGGTAGATACTCAAATCATATTTTCTCCACTTCAACAATACCTGATCTCTTTTCAACACAAGAAAAAAAAACATGGGAGGAGGCAACGGGCAGAAGGCAAAGATGGCTCGCGAGAGGAACCTGGAGAAGCAAAAAGCTGGTTCCAAGGGTAATTGATTAGTTAATTATGAAACCCTAGCAACTTCAATCTCTCTCTCTCTATTCTTTTGTTTATTTGACTGCTCGATGTTTGGGTGAGGAGATCTATGTGGTTATATTCATGTTCTGACTCCAATTCGTGGTCCGATCTATATGCAGGAAGTCAGCTTGAAGCAAACAAGAAAGCCATGTCGATCCAGGTACGCTTCTTTTCCTCTTTTTATGACAATTCAATTTCCAAGAATTTTTATGTTCTCATTAAGTGAAAGCTGAAGCCGAATTAGGCCAAGTACGGTTGATTTTGGAGAGGACTTTTTTTTACTACTAATTAATAATTACGTTTTTTTTTTAACATATAAAATAATCCTCCACCGTCACTTACCTTGGCATGAATTAATCAGAGGAAGAAACCCAACCTCAACAACTAAACAATGATTAAGAATTATCTATACTTGCTTTTCCTTGTGTGCCGATTGACTACTGCAAAGCTACTGTTTAGTATTGGCGTATGAATGAATTTTTAGCAATTGAGAGAGATGCCCTTATCCTATCTTATGTAATGTCTTTCCTTGGCTTCTATTTTATTATTTTCCCAATGGAATTGTTGGGATTATCTTGGTCAGCTCAATAAGATTACCTCCCGTTATAAGTGAAAGGACAGAAATTTTCGTTTTTGGTCTGTGTCTAATGTACTGGTGGATTTTGTGTGCAGTGCAAGGTGTGTATGCAGACATTCATTTGCACCACATCGGAAGTGAAATGCAGGGAGCATGCAGAAGCCAAACACCCCAAATCTGACGTCAATACATGTTTCCCCCACCTTCAGAAATGAAGATGAAGCAGGGGGAAAAGAACTTGTGGATATGGGCTCAAAGCTCTATCTTTATTATCATATGGTGATCAAGTTTGGAACTTTGCAAAGCAATTCATTCAAAGTCCTGGATGCTATTGCTATGTACCTTGGAGTGTGTTTATATTACTATGGTGCCTTAGTTACATTATTGACTTTTATCTCTGGTCTCTTTGGTTTTGGTTTAATTCCTTAAGATTGCGCCATAGCTACTCTCATGTGATGGTAGAAAATAGATTAATTAAAGAATGCATGTGCATTCTTATCCTCTTTATCACGTGAGCCACCAATCCGTCAAATCCCAATGAAATGATCTTTTGCACACTACATTTGTTCTAATATGCCCAATTATGCCTACAAGTACAGTATGTAAAAACAGGGGAACATGCCCAGACATGGAGAAAGCTCAGTTGTGCCTGAAAGCTCACTATTGGCACTGAAATCCCATCTCAATCCAGTGTTCCAGATAATGCCGTGTTGGATATTAGTAAGAGAACAGAGCCGGATGGGCAGGGTAGATAGAGACTGAGAGAAGATAATAAAGGTAACTCACTGTAAATGTATTTTGACAAAGCGCATTAATCAAAGCTTGAGTAAAGCAATACCTGATGCCATGCGGCACCAAAACGAACCCAGAATTCACAATATGCTAATGGCAGTCTATTCAAAATTGTGTGGTTAAAAGGTGAACTAAGAATTCCAAAAAAGAATAGTTGTAACATCCTAAAACTACATGTCATGATATGCCAACGACCTAAATGAAGTACCAAGTCAGGGTGACCAGAAGGGGCTACATTTCTTATGTCTGCACTATGCTATTCTCTGCAGCTCTCACTTGAACAAAAGTATGGATGTGCCTGAAATAAACAGATTTAAGTGAACAAAATGGAATGAAAGTGTCAAAAAATTAACAAACATAGAAGCACAAAGGTACACATTCATGCTGCTAGGTCTCAGCTTATTCCACTGGCAAAATTTTTCCTAAACTTGATGCTAACAGTCACCTTAATAGATCAACTTATATATTGCGAATAAAGGATTCAAGTGGCGTTGGCATCCAATCAAGCAGGATGTTTAAGTGGTTTGTTGTAATATAGGCCTGGTCTAGTGAGAGCGGGTCACTTTGGTGGTCCATATCTGCATAGGACTCACTCTATTAGTGCACCCCTTAGCTGTTGGCTTAAGAAGGCTCCTGTCCACCTTGGTTGGGTAACAAAAAAGATCATGTACGTGACAACTGAAAGGCATTGCCTAAAAAGCTCTGGGGAGCTTATGCATGAATTGCAAGTCTTCTGATTACGACGTGGTAAATTGGTAATCACCAACTAAAAAGAGAGGTAACTCAAAACAGTATAATACTAAAACATACCCTTGCCTCTCCAGCTGTAAGCCTGTCCTGATGGTCATAACGAGGAAACTTATCGAGAAAACCAATGGCCTGCTTGCCTCACAAATGAAACCAAAAGAACCAATACTTGTTTTAAAAAAGAGCCATGACCAAAGCCAAAATAAATCTTACTAATACTATTTGGAAACTTCTTTTTCATCTCTCTAAAAAGAACTCAGCATGACCTCTGGGGAAACTAGATGCCTGTTTTCTGAAGTGATGAACTGGGAGTCTGGGACCATGGCTGTCTGCTGTACCTGCAGAAGAACAAAATAAGCCTTGTGTACATTAGTATATGTCAAGCAGCAGAAGATTGACTTGAATGTATTTAGGAATCAAAAGGAGAAAGGTTGCATAGAAAGGTCAACAGGACAGAGAATGTGGGTGGACAGAACCCACCACAACTCTTTTTTTTTTTTTTTTCTCTCAAGACTAAAAAGATTTACTAGTTGCTTTGAACATAGCCAAAGTTGACAGATTCTATCATTGATCAATAACAATGCATCAGATTTCACCATGCAGCAATTATCAAAAGCCTGCACTCGGATCTCAATCCTTCTTTGGGTGACAACAAACACTGAGGTTGACATACCTGCCAAGAAGAGCTTCAAGCTGAGGATCTAGCTCTAAATGATACTTGTTCAAATAAGCATTTAACTCATCTGTTCCGAGAACCTGAAGAAAAGTTATGACCAATTACTATGGTGTTCCATGACCAAATAGAATAGCGCATAAAAACTAGAGAAACCAGGTTTTCTTGCATTATCAAGCATGTGACCGATCAAGTCTGACTACAAGGTTATTTTGTAAAATAAAAAACCTAAAATTACCTCCACAGTTTGACAAGCTGGTCATAATTGTCACAACCACAAAAGAATGGCTCCTTTCGAAAAATCTGCAGGAAAATGTTTGTGCAAACATAAAACATTACATTAAAGTACATTAGCAATTAACTTCTATGAAATTTAATTACAGTATATGGAACAGGCAGATCCACCAGAATTCTCACCATCATTGCAAGCATACAGCCTAGGCTCCACATGGCCAGAGAATAGTCATAGTCTTGAAAGTCAACAAGGATTTCTGGCCCCTTAAAATGTCTGAACGTCAATAGATAACTTAGTTACATTAAGTTACATTTCCGCAAAAAGTTTGCAGAGTATTCATGACTCTCTTATGAAAACAACAGTAACTGCTTGGAAAAACATAATTTCTCATAGTACTTCAGCCTCTTGTGTAAATTACTTTAAAACAAAGTATTCTTTGAAATCTCCACCTTAGTGTTAAAGACAAGAAAATGTTTTTTAACATCTATATGGACTTATCTAGACTTCATAAATTCATGAATACCTTGAAGCTACTCTGACATTGTACTCTTTGCCAGGATGGTAAAATTCTGCAAGTCCCCAGTCAATCAAGCATAGTTTTCGGAGTTCATGACTGATCATCACATTTTGAGATTTCACATCTCTATGCATTATGCCTTGTGAACAATAGTAATCTAGTGCCTAAAATTACAGAAAGCAGTAGATAAGTGTGTAGCAGATCATTTGAGGTATTCTAGCATTGTAGCCCCGTTTCAAAATAGAGATGATATAGTGCTGTCAGCATGATACAATACAACATAGTAACATGTGTACAAGGAAAATCTTGAGAGAAACGGGTTAAACAGTGCCAAGTTATTAAAAGCAGTGAGAAAAGAACAAACTCAATCATTCCAAATGTAGTTAGAAGTTGGAACAATCTCGTCAAGTATGCCTAAACGAGAACAAGGGAAATGCCCCAAGTTCAAATACCCTTTCCAGCGAAGCAAAAGTGGCTGTGCTTTCCATACATAAAGTTTCAATTAGGAATACCATATAAGATGCATTGAGGTCGTAATTCCTTATAACTATTAGACATGTTATGCGAACATTCTTGAGAGAAAACTGTACATTGCAAAGTTCAAAAACAGGAGAAAAGGGAAGGAAAAAGGTCAGAAAAGCCAGTACAGAGCAATAAGACCATATGAAATTTTAGAAGCTCGTATATATAGTAGGATATGTCATAATCTGTCAGTGTTGGGTACAAAACTTCAAAATATGTACTGTTCAAACACTAAAAAACCAAGCTTAGCTTGGTTTTTTTGAGTGAGGATCTCTGACAATATCAAGCAGGTTCGCAATATTAGGCCCTCCAAAAAGATTTCGTAGTGTTTTTATCTCTCTTTTGATCTGTATTAACACCGATAATAGAAAAATGCATCAATATCAAAACCACCTCACAAATAGACCACAAAATCATCAGAGAACTTATATTTCATGCACAAATCATGGCGGATATTCTGCAAGCGCCACACAATTTTACAACCAAAAGGAAGAATACATAGAAAAAAGGGGTGGATTTTACAATGGAAAACACAACAATTACATATCAACTACCTTCTTTTTCTTGACAGGTTTGAGAATCTTGATAATGCATGTTTCTTTGTTGTTGACATTTACATCGTCAAAGCCTCACTATATTTTCCCCTTCCTAACTACCGCATAGTTATCTTGATCGCTGATTACAGAAGGAAAAAAATTTAAGCATCATGCCAATAACATATAAAGCAGAGGATTCATTTGATAACACAACACTTGTCAAACAAAAATTATGAGGTGTATCGCCGCCTAGCCTACTAGGCTACTACAAAGAAATTAGACAATGCCAATTAAATTTGAAACCCTAATTTATTTTAAAAAACGAAGCATTTGAGTCTAGGGTTTTGGAATGAATAATTTACCCCCATTGAACGTTGAAAGACTCGTAATCGCAGTACTCCGGAGGACGGTGAACGTTGACGTCAGCGTAAACTCGAGCTCTGGACATGGCTACCAAGGTTTCTTTCTCTCTGTCTTTGCTTTTTGGGAGGAGCACAAGAGTCAAATAAGTCTTAGTTAATTTTGACTTTTTTATTAAAAAAAAATCTATACTTATCCAATTCAGTTATTTTTTTTTTATGTACTAGTATTTTAAGAGAAAATTATAAATTAGGCCTTTTAGTTTTAAGAAATAAATTAATTTTTTTAAAACTAATTATTTAATTCCTATATGTTGAAATCTATTTGTAATTTAATTTTTTTTGTTATTTTTAATTTTTTGATTTTTTATTTTAAAAAATGAAAAAAACATATAAAAAATATGGAAAGTTTGACAAAAGAAAAAAAATCTTATGAAATAAATAATATTAAATTAAACATGATAAATAATGATTAAATAATTAAATAATAATTTTTAAAACGAAAGGGGTAATTATTTTTTTAAACTAGAGGGACTAATTTATATAATTTACTCAGTTTTTGGGACAAAAATAATGAAATTAAAAATATATTTATATTAAAAAATCAATATAAATCTTTTTGAAGAATGAAGATAACATAAATTAAAACAACTAAGTTAAAAAATATTTTTTTAATCTAAAATGTTTATCATATTTGGAATTCAAATAAAAGATTATTTTCAATCCTATAACACTTGAAAACACCATGTTCGCTTGCATTGTAGCACGCCAGTGTGCTAATGTGTGGATCATAATTAGAGTGAGATTGTCATGGCGCAAAAGCAAATATGGTGTGATATTCTTTTATTTCTGATATTAGTTATGTTCTAAATTTTTTATCTGGTGGAAACTAATCGTGGTCCATTTGAATTTTTTTTAAAACGAAAGCTGAATCGATACAACGTAAAATGCTTGAAAAAAGTAAAAAACAACTTTTGGTCGTGGATGATATAAGCCACTTATTTACGTAGATGATCAAACTTTTCTTTTAATATATATATATATTTATGTAACCGAAGAGTTATTATTTTATTATGAAACTTTTCAATAAACATATATATATATATATATTTTGAATGACATATGATTCGAGTCTCACCATCCTCTATCTAGAAACTGACCTTCTCTCATGGAGAAGCTAAAATAGAAGCTTGTCCTTACAAAATCTCAAAAACGATGACTCGATCAACATAAAAATATTGTTCAAACCATAGGTAAACAATGGTTATGATTGAAAACCATATCCATAAGTCAATTGTTACTATCACTTCTATTGTCCCAAAAGAAACCAAGATTGAAGATAAGAAACTCAAAAACCATGTCTTCAAACCCTTTCGGGTTTCTAAACACAAGCCAACAATAAATTCATTCAAACCAACCCGAGTTTGCTAGAGCCATTAGAGACCAATTAAGTAAGATAAGTAATATCTTCGGATGGTATCTCTAAGCAAGTAGCTCTTGAGACTTCTCAATCTTCTTAAGGATTTCTAAGATGAGGTCCTAGTCTTTGGTTAAGACATTGACATGTTTTGGGTTTTTACTAAGTTTACTATCGAATTGGGTTTTGAACTAGAAGACGTAACAAGCTCATCTATTTGAAAAGTCTTTTCACTATCGGAATAGTCCGAAGGGTCGAAGACTCTATCAACAAATCGAGAGATTTTATTGTAAACTTTTTCTTTTAGGTGAAGTTCTTGTACCCATTCTTCGAGTAGGACTATGTCTTTCCACCTAATAGATCCGAGAATGACAATATTGGACTTGGTTAATTCCATTTGTAGGAGGAGGGTTTCTCCTTTAGTCGATCGACGTTTGTATTTGAAAGCAAAGACAGATTTCATGACCTTATAATGGATTTTTGTGATCAATGCAATTGGGATTGATCATTCCATCATATTATAGTTATGGGTTTTGATTTGGAGTACTAAAGACTCCGAGTGTTTTTGTCATTCAGAGAAACTGTAAATTTTGGGTAACAATCAAAAGAAACAGGTTCACTGCATAAACTAAACTCAATTGAACTAAGCGGAGAGTCCCGAAAATTTGTAAACCTATTGTCTCTAAGAACTGCCGAGATTGAGGTGTTCAATCCTTCTTTTGTAAGTTGTTTAATTCACGCTTAAACTATATACATATATAGATTTATTGGAGGGTTTCGTAATAGAATAATAACTCTTCGATTACAATATAACAAAACAAATTACAAGCATAATTATAAAAACTTTGTTTTATCGAAGGAAGTTACAAGTATAGAAGAGCCATCCTAAACATGTTTGTGTTCTTTTGAACTGTAGTTGGATTATTTTTATTAAACTTAATAAATGTACTATTAAGCATTGACAATTACATGCTCGATAATGATATACTCACATTTACACTAAAAAAAGGTGTATGGATAGGTTAATCACAACGGTGGTAGAAAGAGAATATTTTTTCTTTTATATCTATAAATTAAATTGAAAAGATCTTACTATACTTTACTATTTCAAGCCAAAACTCAACATACATCTATAAACAAAAAATGAATTTCTCAATTAAAAAACACAAAAACTTTGAAACGGGCCTCCATATGAAGGAGTGGCCTCTAAAAACACAAGCCCACACAAATACCAAACCCAAGCCCGTCACAATCAAACGGTTCGGACTCGATCGAAAGGTTAAAAAACCCGGTTCTGCACCATCAGGTCTTCTATATATACGACAGACAAAACACCACGAGATTGCAACGGTTTCCTCTATCTTCTCCGAAAGGCCTTCAGTGTTGCAAACATAAATAATAATGATAATGATAAAAAATTACATAAATTAGCTCCACTGTCTCATCAGTTCCTTAAATTCCCAGATTAGTTTCCTTACTATTTCTTCCCTCCTCGTATACAATTCTAAATCCTATCCATGCCAAAAGCAAAAAGATTGTTGAAACAAGCAACATAGTTGTAATATCAACCGCAGACTGTTTGGTTTGTGATGGACCCTAACATAATGAAGCTTCTTGAAGAAGACGAGGCAAGCATTTTTCTTTTAAATTTTCACTTTTTTTAATGATATTATGAAATCTAGGTTTTCAAAAATTTTGAGTTTTGAGGTTTTCTTTTTAATTGTGTTTAAAGGACGAAACCATGCATTCCGGTGCTGATGTGGAGGCTTTCCAAGCCGCCTTAAATCGGGATATTGGGGGCGATGTCTCCACCTCTCAGCCGTCTGATTCGAGTGCAGGTATTTATTTGATCTTCATTCTACCGCATTCTAATCAATTAATTAAAAATGAGAAGGCGGAGATTGGGATTGCGATGTAAGGGTATATAGCTGGAGAATTTAATAAAAAACATTAATTTTTTGCGTATTATGCTCATTTATAAAATAGTCGGTCAGTTTATCATACTGGTAGTAAGTGCTTGGGTTTAGTCTTTTCCTATGTTCGGGTTGTTAATCATAGTAGCAGTAGTTATTGTGCTTGTGCTTGGTATTTTAGCCTGCCTGGATTTTTTTTTTTTTTAATTTTGATTATTTATTGTATACAACCCAAAAATACAGTAGTTTTGTCCCACGAAAACAACCAAAGTTCCAGTCAGCAATTTCCAAATTGGCCAACCGCAGGGCAAAATGACAATGGCAACAATTCTGAAGAAGTTGATGGAAAAAGTGTTCAACAACACCAACATCAGGAGCAGCACTCATCTGCAATGGAGACAAAGCCGCATGGACCTAATGCTGAGAACCAACAACAACAGGGGGATGTCCCACAGGAACCAACCCACCTGCCAGTACTTCAGAAAAATTTCCAAGATGATATCAAACAAGAGCTTGTGGAACAAGTCCCTCTCCAGACTCCTCAATCGATTGGGATGCAGAGCTCTGAGCAAAATCATGTACCAAAATCCGAGCCTGATAAAATGCAAATTTCAGATGGTGATTCTCAATTTTTAAATTTTCAGAAGATGGGCAATCAGCAAACTGCAGGCACAGATCAGGCTGGTAACCAAAAGAATAGCAAGCAGATACCTTTTGTATTATTGTTGCCTGCCTTAAAGCCCCATCTTGATAAAGATAGAGAGATGCAGCTACAAACTTTATTTAATAAACTGAGGGTGCGCCTTTTGCATGAATTTCTTTGTCCACTCTTGTGCTTTCTCTTTTATTCATGGGACTGGTTATTATCATGATATATCTTCCTTTGTTATTTTTAGAAAAATGAAATTGCAAAAGACCAATTTGTCAGACTTATGAGAAATATTGTTGGGGATCAAGTGCTCAGGTTGGCAGTTGCACAACTGCAATCACAGGCAAGTAATGCATGTGTTTAATGAAATTTTAATGAACTTAGGATTTTCTTAGGTGATATTAGGCTAAAACCAAGTTGTCCTGCATTGCAGCCAGGTGCCAACCAATCCCAGTTACAGTCTCAAGCTGGTCGCCAACACAATGCGAGAATGCCTGCTGGTATCAGTTCTGCTCAGTTTCCTGATCCACATCATTTTGTACTTCACCCAAGGGGATCTATTCCTTCAGAACCATCTCATAATCCTTCTCCATCAGTCCAATTGCAGACTGATTCAAGCATTGTCAATTCTCAGAAATCCAAAGTGGTAGAACGGCAGCCAGACTCTCTTGGAATGCAAGCAAGCCAATTGCATTCCTCCAATGGCATCATTGCCAATCAAGAAAGGGAGCGATCTTCTATTTCAATGCAAGGCCAGAATAAGCAGCAACAACATGTGCACTTTCCACCGACTTCCTTTCCTATGTACGGAAGCAGTGGTGGTAATTATCATCCATATTCTGGGACAAATGTTAGTACTTCAGGACCACCTGTGAAGCCACAACCCCATGATCCACAAACAAGGCAAATTTCACATCATCAAAACATGGGTGTGACTCAAACAGGAGGGCCAACACATAACATGATAAGCACACCGAAGTTTGAGAGGCAAAATTCTGCTAATGATCCTAGTAGAGCGCACAGTGGTTCTGTTTCCCATTATACAAACAAATCAGCATTGCAACAGAATTCAGCTCCTTGGCAAGCACCGCCAAATAGAGAGCAAAGTTCTGCTCCATTCTCATCCGTGAATTATGTGACACCGGGTTCACTTGAACAGGCTGGGGAGCAGCAGAACAAACCCCAGTCGTCTAGCCCTCAAATGCTGTCTCCTGTGCCCATTGAACAGGGAAATGCAATTTCAGGAAATTTAAAGGATCAATCTTTAGACAAGCAGTCTTCTAAAGTTGTTTTTTCAACTCCCACTGGTATGGTGCCTCCCAATTCTGTTCCCCCTTCAATTGCGACTCAAATGGACCCTAATGGCCAGGTACTCTTATGCTGATGTTTAGAAATATCTAACACATCTAGTTGTTTGAGGTCTTGATTTCATAGTTCCTATGATCTTTTAGGTCGTTTTTAAACCACTAGATGAATTCTTAATCTGAAAGGGCAAACATTTGCAGAAGAACATGATCTTTTGCTTTTTGCATGGCTGCTTTAAGTTTAAACTCACTTTATTTCAGTTTGCTTTGGTCTTATCTTTTCAATTAGTGAAAAAAAACCCTGTACTTCCTACTAATTTCCAGTGGATAATTAACTTCACGTGAGGTTAGAAAGCATTTGATTTTGTTCTATCCTTTCTGACCATGAACATTGATGAGGCTGTTCTAAAATAACTTGTCCATTGGGCATCGTGCATAGGCAAAACTTGAGGGAAAACTTGATATCGTACACCAAGCATCAATGAGAGCACACATACAGGCACGCATGTATGATCTGGAGTCTAGACACAGGGATTGAAAAAAGTGGTAGAATTAATGCAAATTGCACTGCAGCTGTGACTCTTTGTTAATCACTTGATGGTGATTGGACCAGTTAGCAGTAGTTACTAGGTTGGATTGTTTTGGTGCTGCACAAGCACAACTCTTTTAGCCAGTGATGATTTATCCAGATGTTAAGATGAAACATGGTGGTATTGTTGACCTTTGCCTCTTCTTCTGGTGAAGTCGAGTGACAGAGGCACGAGTTACTTGATTAACTATATGCATTAAGCAATTTGAAAATCTTTTACTGGAAATTTATCCCTGCATATACCTACTTTGAAACTAATTGAAAAATGTAGCCTTGTACAATATACTTGAAAATGACCCACGAATGTCATCCCACATTTTGCAAAACTTAAGCAAGCATTCCTTTGCTGTGCTAATATGATGTAGGGAAGGAAGAGAAATCAACTAAAAACAGCAAAGAACAGTAACTATGATAGCTAAACTAGAAGAAAATTGAAGCTGAAACTGGAAAAATAAGTGTAGGGTTTGTATACGACCTCTAAAACTTAAATCGATTGCTAATAATATAAGACATGTCTGAAAAAATAGCAGAGGCAGCCCTATTTATACTAGTTGTAGGTCTAAATCCTAGTCCTGAAAAGGAAGCATTTTGAAAGTTATAGGGCTAACAGAGAATCCAAGTAACATAAGCATTTCCTAAACTAAATGAAGAACTAAAATTACCAAGGAAAATATAAATTCTTCCAAAAGCTCCTGTGTCGTATGGTATATGGCTAAAAGCATCCTCTATCTTAACATTGGTTCCTAGCTCTGGTGGAATATATGAGTGAATTTGTTTTACCAGGTTATTTCCCTTTGGTTTTACTCAGGTTGAGTAATGCTATATAATACAGATTCTCGAATCACATTTAATTTTATGAAGTTTTTTCAAATTATTTCATATCAGAAATATGTTGTTTTTGTGTACTCAATTTGGCAAGCAAAACTGTTCGAATGATTAAACTAGTCATTTTCTGGCTATTGTTGAATAATGTCCTTTTTGCTTCTATATGTTATCAGGTAGGCTCCCGAATCCCATCCGTAGCTTCTGTTGCTGGAGTTAATGCAAGAACTCCTCCCAAAAAGCCTTCTGTTGGCCAAAAGAAGCCATTTGAAGCACTTGGTTCATCACCACCTGCATCAAGGTGAAATAGCTCCTTTCATGGAGCAAGAATGATTTTAATTGGCTCATCTATTTCTTTTATCCCGTTCAAAGCTCTTTTTTTTTTTTTTTTAATCATGTTTGATGCATAATCTATGGGATAACATGCAGCAAGAAGCAAAAGGTATCTGGGGCTTTTTCGGATCAAAGCATTGAACAACTCAATGATGTCACTGCTGTTAGTGGAGTTAATCTCAGGGTATGGTATTTTTTACAACCATCCAGATTGCATGTACAAAAGTATCACCTTGCAAGTAAAAGCACTCCCTTTGACAAATATACTTGGAATTCATCTGATATTTTGCTTTGGTATAGGAAGAGGAAGAGCAGCTATTTTCTGGGCCAAAGGAGGACAGTCGAGTTTCAGAAGCATCACGAAGAGTTGTACAAGAAGAAGAAGAAAGGCTGATTTTGCAGAAAACTCCTTTGCAGAAAAAATTAGGAGAGATCAGTTAGTATTTTTGTTTTTCGGCCCCTGTTTATGTCTGCTGTTAATCCATTTGTCTGTGCACTTTTAGCTATATGGAAGGCAGTACCATGCTTGTTGTTTGATATGTATTGGGTTTGTCTGTCTGTTCCAGTGGCCAAATGTGGTTTGAAGAACATTGGCAATGATGTGGAGCGATGCTTGTCTTTGGTGAGTTGCTAGCTGTTGGTCTATTTTGAGAGAATTTTCACACATTTTCTTATGGAATTCATTTTTTAGTGTGTGGAAGAAAGGATGCGCGGACTCATAAGTAACCTGATCAGGCTGTCAAAACAGGTGAGTTTTTGTTTTCTTTTTGCTAACTTTCTCAGTCTCTGTCTCTCATTTTGTGCTTGGATTTATTTGCTTTATTCATCTTTCATGATTTACGTTGGATCTCTACAGCGTGTTGATGCCGAGAAGCCAAGACACCAGACTCTAATTACTTCGGATGTCCGGCAACAGATCATGACAATGAACCGGAAAGCTCGGGAAGAATGGGAGAAAAAGCAAGCTGAAGCAGAAAAGCTCCAGAAAGTTAATGAAGTGGGTGTTTTATTTGATACTATCTACTTTCTTAGCATATCATTACCCATGATTCATGAAGTACATGCTCATAAAGAAAAATACACAAGTACATAAGTAATATTTCTATATTTGATATATTTATGCAAGCACTAATTGCTTAACTTTTTATGTACCCCATATCTCTGAATGCAGCCCGAGGGTGAAAATGGAGGTGAAGGTGAGAAGGAGAAAGATGAAGGTCGCGGGAAATCAGTGAAGGTATCAGGGATGTTGCAAGCATTAAAAGTTTTCCTTTTAGCCAAATAAAACAGATCTTTGTTTTTCCAATATCTACAACTATATAGGCTAACAAAGAGGAGGATGACAAAATGAGGACAACAGCTGCTAATGTTGCTGCTCGAGCTGCTGTTGGGGGAGATGACATGCTGTCAAAATGGCAACTGATGGCTGAGCAAGCTCGACAGAAACGTGAAGGAGGGACGGACGGGGCATCTGGTTCCCAGCCAGTTAAAGATGTGAGTCGCCAACCTCTATCTCCATCAAGAAGAAATGTGAAGGAAAATCTCGAAGCAGAAAAAAGGAGCCCTGCAGCTCCTTCTGCATCTGGTAAGTGCGGGTGACAGTTAGAGGAACATATGCTGAAGCAAACTTTCTGGTTGTAATCACATCATGTATCATGATATTCATTACATTTGTTAGCGTTTTCACCTTACCTTTTTTCCTTTGGTAGGAGCTGTTAGGAAATTTGGAAAGAATCAAGCGATAGTGCCTCAAACTAAGGTGGTTCGTACTATTTCTGTTAAGGATGTAATGGCAGTGCTGGAAAGGGAACCTCAGATGTCCAGGTCTACTTTGATTTACCAACTGTATGAGCGAATCAGGTCTGATGCTGCAGCTGAATAGCCTCACGACTCAGGTGCACCCCAATAAATGGTGGCTTTTTGTGTTTTGGTTCCTGACAAGATTGTGGTCCTGAGTTTTGCATGCCCAATCATAGTCCTATTTGGCTGGAGGGACAAATTTGTATGATAAATCACTGTAAAGGTTCTGCCTCTGCCTGATAGGCTCAGAGTTCAACTCGTAACCATCCATGGGTAACTTGACGGGCGCCAGATGACGTGCCCTTGGTCAATGTATTAGCTGTTCCTCATGTTAATTTGTCATCTTCATTCTCGCTTTCCCCCGTGGAAGTAATGTACTCCATGATGCTTTTCTGGTGATATTTAGCTTTGACATGATTTTGCAACTCCAATGTAATAACATGAGCTTTATTTAAAGTACATATTTTATAATGCTTGGATGTCACTTGAGATTTGTCCACACCACTTTGTAGGTATCACTTGATCCTCTGTGAGCCAGGATCAAGCAAGATGATGCAAGATTTTATCATTGCGAGATTATTGCCACACTTGTTTTTCAAATGGTTGAAGGATTTCAAGCGCTCCTATAACAACGTTTTCAGGGAAATGGAATGCATGTTTGTTAACAAAAATAGGCTGACACAAAGAGGAGGTCACATATTTTCTCAAACAAAAGGGGGAAAAAAATGATCAATACATCAAGAAAAGTTACAATTGAAAAGCCTGAACACGCATCCAAGAAAACTGACCTTTGTCGGCCAGGACAGATGCTAAGGCCCTAAATTGCACTCACCTTCAAGGCTACAGCAGCTTACATGCAAACTATACGTATCTGAAAAATTCTCAAGGCAAGAAGAAATGGCAAACACCAAGCAGCCAAATGTCTTGCATTTCCTTGTGAGGGATGAGGTCTGGAAACTAAGCCACTCAGTTGGGTATGCTGTGTTTCCCATGACATGGTCTGGTGCTCTAATCCTTGGTGCAATGGGCATCTGTATCATGCTGGACACAGTGACTATAACCAACACTATGGAGGAAATCCCGGATCTCTTTGGCACTACTGTTGCTCGCTTGCAGCAACCGTTCATCTTCCTCATAGATTAGGTAAGGGGCTTCATCTTTCTTTCTTGACAGTAATTTTACAGCCCCTTTAAGCACATGATATTCCCATCCTTGGACATCAATTTTGAGAAGCAACACAGGTTCTGAATCTGGAATTAGTTCATCAAGGGGAATGGTCCTTACTTGAACTGCTATTTCTTCGTTGGACTTGAATGCCAACTTTGCACCAGTGGCTGAAACAGCACTATTGTCAAGCCGACCTACCAGCTGCCAGTTTTAAAAAACTAAGATGATGAGTATTCAGTACACAGGGCTCAAATTAGGCTATATCAATCAATTATAATTTTTAGCCCTAGAAACCCAACATATCCACTGTATATTAAATCCGTTAGAGTTGAGTAAATTTTGGAAAAAGAGTGAATTACCTTATAAAAAGTGATATTCCCAATCCGATCAGAGACAGCGGCCTCAAAAACAGTAACCAAGTCTGAAACACGATTAAACCAAATCCCATCACAAATCCTCTGAAGGTTGTCAATCACTGGCTCGAAAGCCAGCACTTTAAAACCCATAACCGCCGCTGCGAAACTCGCCATTCCCACATTAGCCCCAACATCCACAACCAACCCATTTCTCCTTTTCATTCCTTCAAGAAGTTGCTGAATTGTAGCTGAAATATCTGGCTTCCTGAAAGGCTTTCCTTTCAGGAACCTCACAATGTTCTTGTGGGGCTTGTCGGGCAAGGACCCGAAATCCGAGAGAGAGTAGAGAAAGGGGTATTTGAGGTTTTCCACTATGTTGGCAACCACAGGATGAGCTTGTGGAGATTTTAAGCAATTAAAAGGAGGGATTGGGTAAACTTGTGATACATATAGTGTGGAGTTAGGAGGATTCGATGGGGATCGAGCAAAGAAGAAGAAGATAAAGAGGAGGAGAAGGAGAGAGAGTGAGAGGAGGAGAAGGATGGGAGAGAGGAGTTTAGGCTGTTTGTTGTTTTCTCTTTTCCAGGCATTTGCCATGTCTGAAGAATTGAGGGAAGAAAGATTGGATCCAATCTAACGTGGGGGCGATGTGAGTTGGCTAAGCCCTGCTGATTTTGTTAAAATGACATTTATAGGTTTCTGCCCATAACTAAGTCTTCAGTTTTGGTGTCTATGATAAAGGATCAAACTTCCCGTTCAGATTTTTTCCGAAGGAAAAAAAATAAAAAACAAAACAAAACAAAGAAAACCATTGCGGCGAGGGAGAGAAAATCAGAAAACCCAGGGCACAAGAACTTCATCATGGGCAGCATTTCCATAAGAACAATTAGCAAACGCTTTCTCTATGGGAATTTCATCAGGCAAACATTTATTAAAAACCCAGAGTCTCTTTCTGCTCATTATCGTTCGAGCAAAACAAGAGTCTCTTACACTCTCTACAAACCATCTCTTTCGCACCCATTTTCAACATCATCATCAAGATCATCTTGTTCGAATTCTCAATCCAAATTTCGGTTTATAGGATGGTATTTGAATCAGCTGGAATCGCACCCAGTAGTCACCAAAACTTTCACTACTTCGCTTATTTACGCTGCCGCTGATTTGACCGCTCAGGTAAACCCTAGCTTCCTTCAATTTACATTAGTTCAGTCTGGTTTCTACATGCCTATCCTAAGCATCGGTTAGGAGCATAAATTGTGTTTGACGAAAAGTAAGTTGAAGTTTAGCATGATGCTAACAATTGTTTTGTTTTTTTAGACAACAACAATTGTTTTGTGGTGCAAAAAGAGTCTCTACGTAAGGAGGCATTTGAACATTCGCAGCTTGTATTTAGGATACAGGGGGGCTTTTATTTCAACTGCTAATAAATATGTTGCTGGAAAATAGAATTTTATTTGCGTATGGTGCTAATGAATCTCATGATTAGGAGTTTCATTTACTGGCAACTTAAGCTATGAATATAATGATACTCTCTCATTTTGGGTGTGAGGATGGAGCTACAATTTTTTTGTTATCTGAAGATGCAAGTCTGTGAGATTGACAGACTATACACTGGCAAGAGAGAACATTTTTCATCTAGTTTGCATCTTTTTCATTTCTCTTTTCTAACTCTAGTAAATGCCAAACTCTAATCAACGTCGCAATTTTATCCAACTTTAGTAACTAGTTGTCACAATATCCTTGCCCTGCGATTATAGTTTGTGGTGCTATTGTGTAGTATGTATGAGGTATAATCACAGGTTGAGAATGAAACTACTACATTTATCTCTTATTCCATTAAAGTATCTCCTTGAATTGATACTTGACCTTCTCTTTTCTATAGCTAGGCTCACCAGCTTAAAAACTTGATAAAAAAAATTGGCTATGCGGGTTTATGAATCACTCTATTTAGTAGATTTATGATGTTCAAGTGATCACAGGATCACTTTTTATCTTATTGTGTGCGTGTGTGTGTGTGTGCACGCAAATGTGGAAATTAAGTTCCTTGATTGCTTATGGTAAACATTTGTGCAGATGATTTCGTTGACATCATCTAGTTCTTTTGACTTACTGAGGACGTTACGCATGGCTGGATATGGTTTGCTATTTTTAGGGCCATCACAGCATCTCTGGTTCAATTTTATGTCAAAAGTTCTACCAAAACGTGATGTACTGACTACCTTCAAGAAAATTTTTATGGGACAAACAGTTTATGGACCTGCTAATGCCACTCTTTTCTTCTCCTATAATGCAGCTTTACAAGGTAAACAAAATTTTTATCTCATTAGTATTTTAGAGTTCTATGGCACTAGTATCTTTTTTAACGGCATTTTATAGTTGGCTCTCCAGGGCATCTTGAGGTGTTTTTGCCACCACAAGGTTATAGAGCGGTAGTAATTGGCTGTTGTTTAATCATCTCTCATTTGTACAAGTCTGTGGAGGCAACACCAGAGTCCTCCTCTGGGCATCAACACCTGTACTTGGGTCGCCTTGGCCTTTGGTAGGGCTTCTTCTGTTCGATACCAGTGGATGTTTGGCATTTTCCTGGATCTTATTGGCTGCTGGCATGCTCTGTGCCATCTTTTTTAACTTTGGAGCTGCTATAAGTTTTCTGCAGGGCTTTTCTTCTCATTTTGATGAATTCTTTTCCTAGCCAGTGCTGCAGCTAATTAACACAGCCTCAAACAGCTGGTCACACTGGATTTTAATGCTGCAACATTGATAATTGAAACCAAGCCAAGCTCTGTTTGACATATTTTCTTTATTGTTTATTTTCTTCCAAGGAAACTGGGCCTCAACCTTATGTTTGGACATTAGACAGCTTCCAATTCGTTTCACTCTGAATCCTTACTTTATCGATGGGAGATATGTCAACTTGCCTATATTCCCATTGGCTTCTGTTTTAATTTTGTATTTGTTTCTTATACTTTTGTATTTGCCGTTCTTGAATGACTGTTCTCGTACCAACTCAGGTGAAAGTGGCGATGAGATTATAGCTAGATTGAAGCGTGACCTCTTGCCAACTTTGAAGAATGGTCTACTGTATTGGCCAGCATGTGATTTTGCCACATTTAAATTTGTGCCTGTTCATCTACAGGTATAAATGGGTCTTTTTCTTTCCTATGCTAAGCAAATATTGACGAGCCTAATTTTTATCACTCGTTTGCTAATTTTAAGGTGATTCGTATTTTTGCTTGCTAAATATGTGATTTCTGGTAATGCTTATGGCAGCCATTAGTGAACAGTATTTGTTCATATGTATGGACAATCTATCTAACATACATGGCAAGCTTAAAGACAGCAAGCACGGGTTAATCCTCAGATTTGGACTTCAAATGCGGCACAGTTTTCCCTGTTTGAGCTATAGAAGAAGAATGCAGTGGCTTTGCCCCTTTTGTCAGTTCAAGACAATTTAAGCATTGAAATTAGATCAAATTATTGCTTGTAGGTATTCTTTTAGCTCTAAATGATCATGTTTGTGTCGTGAAGTTTAATATTTAGATCCTATTGTATAAGATTCTTGTTTATTGGAATTGGAATGCATGTTAGGGAGTAGATCTTGGTTTATTGACTTGCGGTACTTGCGGCTTCGTGTAGAACCATGTTAGCCACAATGTTATACATGCATCCATTTTCACGCCTTCTCTCAGCTCGTTTTTTTCTAAGCAGATTTTTACAGGAGTTCTTGTAGATAATAGATTTCTGTTGGCTGGTATTGATGGATGATGCCTGTTCCTCTGCGCAGAAAATTTACTTGTCATGCATTGCAAACTTAAAAAGGTAACTTGATGAGTGCTGTGATTTGACTATAGTATATTAAGAAAAATTCATATTTCGCATGCTCTTATGGATTCAAGTCAAATGTCAATTGTCAAAATTTCATATTATTTGGCAGTCAAATCATCCTTTCGTGTTTCTAAATCATGTTAGAATCATCAAATATAAAACTTGATGTTTTGGATTCCATTGTATGGGATTGTTGATGCTTTAAGACTGGAATTTGTGCACTTTTCTCTTTGTTTGGACGTGAATCATAGTCTTTCTAGCTTCTCCTGCTTGTGCTATTTTCCTCTTAATTTTCTGTTCTAAAATTGGATTAAAAACGGAATATGGATTCTCCGGACATACAATATGGATATTGGTGAATGGTGATAGTTTTAACAGAGCACAACTTGAACAACAAATGATTTGTATGATGCATCCATACATGTCGAATAGATTTAGGGATGGCAGTTGTAAATTGTGTATAAAATGGATACTTATTTTACCCGCTTCAATAAATGCTCATTAAAAATATTTAATGAGTATTAAAATGAGTAATGATAAAAAAAAATACTTACTCGTTAATATGATTTCGGGCTAGGATTACTCACTTTTTATCCTATTAATACCCATTAATTTATTTTAACTTTTTTATTATTTTAACTTTTTTATTAGTATACAAGAATTTAATTGCATAAATTTTAAAAATTAAGGATCAAAATATTTTTTTCAAAAACTTTGAAGACAAGAAAAACTTATAAATAAATGATCAAAACGTAAAAAAATAAAATTAAGGACAAACGCTTTTCTTTGAAAATTATAAGGACTAAAATGAATGTTTTTGATAAATTATTTTTAACGGGTATTAAATAGATATTAAATGGGTAGATAAATTAATATGGTATAGTTATGAACTATGGTGATTTTTAATGAACAATGAGTAAGATATTCTTTTTATGGATAAGATAAAAAATTGAATTAATGAATCGGATACCCGTTGCTATCACTAATTAGATTCCACATTAATTTTTGCATCCATCTTTTTTTTTCCTTCTCCTCCATGTTATCATATCTATAAATGGGAACTAGTAGAAAGTAATTGCTCAAAACCTTAAACCTAGCTTAAGACTAATTCAACGTGAACTGTTTAGGGTTTTTGTAGCACTCAAAGGTGCCAAACCCAAGGTATAGAAGAAATAAACTAAACAAGTGAAATGTATAATTTGTAAATATTGGTGCAATTTTTTTGAATTTGTTTTCCATCATAAATTAGCAAAGCATCAAAGCGTTCTTGCTAAACAATCTAACTAGATGGTATTACATGATCATAATTTTTTTTTAAGAAAAAAAAACTATCAATCATAAATGGAACTTCTATTCATTCACAAGAGACGATCAAAGAACAAAACAAATGTATTCCCGTTTTGACCAATTGACATCCTCCTATTAAGTACTTTTGCTTAACAAATAAGAATTGAATAAGAGATGTGGGGAAGAAGAAGAAGTCTAAATAAGAGAATTTGAAATTGATTTCTATTTTACAACTCATGAATGACTAATACATGTGTTCCATTTCTCTCTTTCCTATATATGGTATTACTAACTGATTATCTAACAATAATAGTCACCTCGTCGATTAGTTACACTAACTATTAATTCCCTAACTAATGTCACAAGCTAGCTCAATTAATTGCTAACAATAGAAATAAAACCAATTAATTGTAACCCTAATGACAAAATTATTAATACGTAATAATGCCTCTCTTTATAACGAGTCATCGTCTTTAAGGATCAATGTAAAACTCAAGAAATTGCAGCTCTAATTATTCTAAAATCTTCTAAGTGACATCCTCAAAAGGTAAACCAACTCGACCGAATAAGTCCTATCATCAACGCTTGATTATTTCGATAAGCTTTACGCCTAAGACGACTCGAGGATAAAGTCTGTAACTTTTCTTTTTCATTTAAAGTAGGAAAGGTTGTGAGATCAACTATGGTACTCCATACTTTATTTTTTTAAAAAAAAAAAAAGAGATATGGAAAACTTGGTGAACAAAAGCTCTTAATGGTAGCTCGACTCGTAAGCTATCTTTGCCGATCCATTATAAGATGGTATAAAAGCCATAGCCTTTGGGATTTAATTTAAATTTTTTACGTAAAGCCACACTCAATTGTTTGTAAGGTTAAAGCTTCAAATAAACCCGATCACCAACCTTAAATTCCCGTTTTATCCTTCCTTTCTCAGTTATTTGTTTCATGTGATGTTGGACCTTCTTTAATTAAGCTCATAGGAATAAATTCATAGCTTTCTTTTCTCTCGGCACTTCTTGAACAGTATCTACTACGATGGTACCTTGAAGCATAAGTTCCCTGATTGGTGGAGGGGAGAATACAAAGCTTAGAAATGAGTCATCTTGAAAGTAGAGTGAAAGTTCGGTGTTGTGCCATCATTATGCTAAGTAAAGCCATTGTACCACTCCCCTAGATAATTTAAACACATGCACTTCAAGTAAGTTTCAAGACATTGTTTCAACCTCTCATTTTAGCCATTAGTTTGAGGATGATAGACCAAACTTATTAGAAGTTTAATGCCTAAAGATTGAAACAAGTCCTTTTAAAAGAGACAAGTAAACACATTATCCCTATCGGTAACAATAAAGGTTGGTAATTTATGAGATTTATAAACTTGTTCCATGATTTGTTTTTGCCACGTGCTTACTCGAGAAAGGATGAGATAAGGCTATAATGAGTTTATATTTGGTGAACTTATCAACAACCACTAAAAGAACATCCCGACCTTTAAATTTGGGTATCCCTTTTACAAAGTCCATGGAAAATATCCTTTCATGTTATATACGAAATTGGTAGTGGCTAGATACTAGAATATGCCACCCTTTCGAGTTTCGTTCACATACGAATACCATAAGTAGACATAAAATTCTTAACCATTTATTTTGTTATTTGCTAATAAAAAGAACCTTTAAGTCTTCCGTATGAGTTTTGGACTCTTGCGTGTCCCCAAATAGCTGAGTTATGAGTAACTCGTTATTAACGTCTACTTTAATTCATTCTCAACCCTAATGAAATTTTTTGTTTATGTCTCAATATGCCTTCATCATAGGAGAATTGAAGAAAAATATCCTTTTTGAAAATGTTTGATCGTAATGATCTCATGTGCCTTGGTGTTTTGTTTATAGAAATCCATAATATCCCTATGCCAAGTTCGGTATCACGGTAGTAACTATATTGAGGATGCCATCTACATCCCTTACAGTACAAGAGTTGGATAGTCTCGTAGATAATGTGTCGGCCATTAAGTTTTCCTTGTCTTTCATGTACGATATCTCGAACTTCAACCCTAACAATTTAGTAAACCTTTTCCTTTGATTTGGAGTAAGAATGTTCTATTCAAGAAGATACTTCAAACTTCACGGTCCGTTTCAATAATGAATTTGCCAGTTTCTAAATAATACTATTATTTATCCACTACCATTAAATTGCTAAGTATTCCTTCTCAAAGATAGACATTTCTAAGTGTCTAGAGCTTAAAGCTTTGCTTGAAAAAAGCTAAAGGTCTCTCTTATTGAGATAGAACCACTCCTATGCACTCGTCACTAGCATTTGTTTCCAACACAAATGGCTTATGAAAGTTAGGTAGAGCTAAAGCTAGAGTATCACATAATATTACCTTCAAATGTTTAAAAGCGAACTAAGCTTATACATTCTAGTGAAAGTTATTCTTCGTAGCAAGGTAGTCAATTGTTTGTTAATCGACCTATGGTTACAAATAAACTTCATAGGATAACTAGTTAAACCTAAAAATCCATTCAATTTTTTTTACAGATTTAGGTATTGGCCATTCACCGGCATCTACTATCTTTTGGGAATTGGTTCTACCCTAACTTTAGATATGATATGGCCAAAATACTTCATATGAGTTTGGCAAAAGAAGCATTTTGACTATCATACAAATAACTTGTTCTTTAAGCGTGCTTAAAGCACCCTTACAAGGTGTTTAATATATAACTCCAAAGTGAGGTTATATATTAAAATATCATCAAAGAAGAAAAGGATGAATTCTTTGGGTAAGGCTCTAATACTACATTCATCATGGCTTGAACGGTGGCTCGAGCGTTAGTCATTCCAAAAGATATGACCTTAAACTCGCAGTGCCCCTAATAAGTTTGAAAAGTAATCTTCTCAATGTCGGCCTTGTTCATCCTTACTTGATGATGGCTAAACCTCAAATCCATTTTAGAGAAGAAATTTTAACCTTGAAACTCATCTAGTAGGTCATCAATCAATAGAATAGAAAATTTATCTTTGTTGGTAATGTTGTTAAGCTATTGATAATCCACATAAAACCTCAAATTCTCATCTTGTGTTCTTGACTAATAGAACATGAGATGCAAAGAAACTATACCTAGGCTCGATGATACGATTTTGTAGCATCTTTTTAACCAATCTTTTTTATATCTCCTTTGTGGGCATAATAGCTACTATTATTGAATGCTTACATGTTTATCTATAGGATCAATAGAATTATGCGATCAAATAACCTCACTAGTGGTAGTTCTTATGAAAACTCAAATATTATTGTATATTTAAGTAGTAATGCTCGTATCTCATTATTAACCATCGTTCTAATTTAGTTACATTATAAACGGTAATAAAGAGCCTCTACCCCAACTAATCTATAAACTATAATCTTTAATTTTTTATGCACTTTATCAGCTATTATTTGTAATAGCTAAACTTCATCAATCGTCTCTTTTAGTTCAATCATTTGCCCTATCCCTCTAAAAGGGCAACTTTAAATTAACAAAATCAAATAAGAATGGGGAGTATAATTTGAGCCAATCGACTCTTAAAACCATGTCACATCTTTCCAATTCTATGACTCATAAGTCAACTTGAAATATGTGCCCTCGCATAAACCAAGTCGGCCATCGACTTTTGGCTCAACACCTCATCACATCACTATCGGCCATCGTTAATGACAATGGTGTGGTTTCTCCATTTCATCTTTGGTTTTCTTCACAACTATGTGGTTGATGAACTATAAGTGCTTCTACTATCAATTAGAACTATAATCTCTTTTGTTTTAGAGTTTTTCCTAATCATATAGTGTTGTTCGCACACTTTCCAACTAAAGCATAAGAAGGCAACCATATTCCTTATAATTCATATCATCCAACACACCATCCTCTTCATGTTCCTCCTCAAAATCCACAAATCCTTTATTCTCTCCTTCCACCTCTTCTAATATGTGTAATGTTTTCCTAACATACCAATAACCGAGTGTGTATTTATCTCCATAGCTAAAACATAGGCTCATCCTCATCTTTGAATCCTACAATTTCTTTAGTCGTGGTTTTGGTAAGTTAAAATTTACAAGCTTAGAAGGTTTAGTGGTGTTATCATTTTGAGTAAAGGGAACACAAGACTTATGTACTTAACTAAAATAGAGTTTTTTTTGTGTTATAGGTAGGGTATTGATTTAAGTAAGGTTTGGTATTGTAAGTTGGCGAAAAATTCTTTAGGGAAGGATTTCTAGGTTTTTTAGTCATGACATTCATAGATTCCTCCAGCCTATTTAACATAATCAAATGCTTGTGTTAAGGTTATGAGTTTTAAAATTTTCAACATAAGCTTGATATCTTCTTTGAGTCCACTCATGAAGTTAGAGACAAAGTAAGATTCAAGTAAATGAGAGTTATTTACGGTCATCAAGGATTTGAGTTTCTCGAATTTTTCTACATACTTGCTCCATGACTTTTTGTTGATTGAGCTTATTAAACTCCTCCACCACATCCTTCGTACTATCAAACCTCCTACACGGCTCCCTAATAAACTCTTCCCAATCATCTAAATCACTTCCTATTATAAATCTTTCGAATCAAATTTCGAGTTTACTCTCTAGGTACATAGAAGCAAGTTTTACCCACTAATGCACATGAATGTAATTTATTTTAAAAAAACTTCCTATATTTTTTAACCTAACCTCTCGAGTTATCACCCTTAAACAATTGTAAGCCAACCTTATGTAAAGAGGAATTATAACTAGACTTTATTGAGTTATGAGTTAACAATGATTCACCCCGATTCGCACGGTGAACTGGTTTTGGAGTCAAATTTACTCCTAGTGAAAAATTCAAAGATTACATATGCTCTTTTTCAAGTTCTTTATCCGTCATTATTGACTTAATTGTCTTTATTAAGGCTTTAAACTCGAAGTTGTGTTTATTGAGTTTACTTCTCCACTTGTTTCTTGATAGCTTCAACGTTTTTTCGAAATTTCTATCGCAAACCTTGGAGCTGTTCTTCTTACTTCTTGTGTTACTCCTCGAAAGCTCCTAACCTATTATCACTTGCTATGATTACGGTTTTGTCTGTCATGAAATAGTTTTGGTACCAATTTGTTAAGTACTTTTATTTAACAAAGAAGAATTGAAGAAGAAATACGAGGAAAAAGAAAAAGAAGATTAGAGAGGAGAATTTTGAATTGATTTATGTTTTACTGCTTAAAAATGAATAATATCCGTGTTCTTTTTCTCTTTTTGCTATATATGGTATTACTAACTGATTGTCTAACGATAATGGCCACCTCATCAGTTAGTTATACAAACTATTAATTCTCTAACTAACGTCACCTAAGCTAGTTCAATTACTTGCTAACAATAGAAATAAAGCTAACTAATTATAACCGTCTCCAGTTAAAAGATAAATCCTTCTACCTGAACAATCAAAATGCTTTCCGCATAGCTGCAATAATCTCTCTGGTGACATTATCTTTCCGACTAACCTGTGATAGATTGCCACGTTACTGGCCACAGATTAGCCACCACACAGGTATTCTCACTTCCTTCATTATGCGCGTTTTAACACGCACCAATTCTTTCGGCCTCTCCCTTCGAAAGAAACCCACGCGTTTGGAGCTCTAGCGTTGATAACACGTGGGCCTGGAAAAGCTTGAGATGGGCAAGGGAGGTCCAAAGAGAATAATCCAATCACATGGCCGTACGATCTCCAAAAAGTGACCCCCTATCTTTATATTACACGTGGTAACAAACTAACCACCACGTCTGCCTGAAAAAACGTCAGGGTCTTCCAGGCAAAATGCCACGTGGTTTCCATGGAGAGCGCGATACGTCAGCAGAGGAGAGCGATATTAATTAATTTGAGTGATTCGGAAAGAAAGAGTTGGGAGGGAGAACAGGGAAGGGAAATAAGCAGCGAGTGAAATAGGCAAGTTTGTTTTGTTTTGTTTTTTTTTTTTTAAATGTAACTCTGTTAAATAGTAATTAGTCTTCTGATTGGAATTCGAAGTCTTAATTACTTTAATCAGCGCTTGTCCTTTTATCGGCAGTTAGGAGTATTAAATAAAGAAGAAATTTGGGAATAATTTTGTGTGGGAATTTTGTTGCAGTAGTAAAATCTGCTCGTTCGTTCTTGATCTCTCTGTTCTCTCTCCTCGGAGGGAGAAGCAGCGGAAAAACTTCCCCTATGGAGTGGTGTGATAAGCTGCGAAGAGTGTGGAATGGCATCGCTTTGCGTCTTGGGATTCGTAAACGCGGTTAGTCTCTTTCTCTCAACACTCTCTCTGTTTGTCCCTGTGTTCTATTACTTCCCCTGTTTTTTGGAAATGTGCGTGCGCATTAGCGAGATAGCTCAGATTTGAAGCATTTTTTATGTAGTAATAATTAACATAGACATCAGCAATAACATAGTTCCGTTTTTCCTTTGTTAAGATTGTGTAAATAATGTTTTGAAACAAAAACAGGACTATTAAAGCTGCGGCATGATGTGAGAGTTTGTGAGTACGAGGATGTGCATGTCATGTGGAAGATGCTGAAAAAAAATAAAACTGATACTGTTCAATATTTCTCAAGAAAGAGCAAAAACAAATCCTTCTGGAATTGTTTTCACTGGGCTAGGTGCACTCCATATCTTGATCAGCGCACCTGTTGATCATCCTTGTCTTGTGGGTATGACTATGAGGAAAGACTTCTCTAACAACAGTTATCCGCGTGATTGAATGATTGCGATAGGGATATCATCAGTTCATCATAATAAAAGAGAAATGGAGGCTCTATATATGAGATAGTGTCCTTTTCCTCTTCATCGGAGTAGTTTGTAGATATCCTCTGCCACACAGGATGGATATGTTCCATCTTCTCCTTGTCTCTACGTGGTTATCTCCAGTGGAATAAACTATGTTTATGGTATATATCTTTTTCAAACTGTGTTCTATACGGTTGTGCTATTCTAATTACGAATGCTTGAACTTCTATGAACCTGCACTGTATCATGCTATTTTGAATTGTTCCCATCTAGCTTGATTCTCTTTTTGAAGTCTAATTTTAATGAAAAATTTTGTTGCTAATTTTACATTTAAATCTTAAGTTCTATTTTATAAGCTTATAGATGAAGCTTTGACGTCGGCTATAGAAACATTTTGTGAAATATTGTTATAATGATTAACTTATGCTTCAAAATCCCTTCATTATCCATATTTGCACCATACTTGTGCGCAAATAAAAAAAAAAAATTGCAATGATAGGTTGAGTTTTTCAATCATTTGCATGCAGAGATATGTTGTATGAAGTCATTCTACATTTTTTAGAGCTCAAATATCAGTTATGATTTTGAATCCACCTGTTTCTAATTTTCTTTAGTTCTCTTGCATGCAAAAAAAATGACTTAAAAGGGGAGGAATTTGCGAAATTCAAATCTAGCCATATTTGGTGTCAGCTGGGCGATGCTTTTTTTTCCCCCATTTCTTTTGTTTATACGGTAAAATTTTGTGTTTTATTATTTTTTTCATATTAATAGATAAAATATGGATATTGATAGAATAAAGAGAAAGTGCTCATATTCATAAATAAATTATCTATTAACATAAATGAGTAATATTATTTTATTTATATTTAATTTATTATTTATTAGAATATTTTTAAAGGATGATTGATAGACAGGACAAACGGATTACTTATTTTATATTCGACACACTGTAATCCGTAGAAAGAATTTAAGGTAGGGCAGCATTATCCTCCTATGGTTAAGGGGGAGCCAGAAAATTATAAAAAATGTAGCGTGACCCGGTCAGTATCAGATGTTTGAATTAGTCGTCCAAATGAATAAGATATCAAAGATCACGCTGTATGTGTAAGGTACGTTCCACAGTAGATGGCCTGCAAGTACTATTTTCTATTTCTTTCAAGACTTTAGCATCAAATGAATGAATAATTGTGGGATGATTCCATATACAGCCAATTTCATTAAATTATTTTATGTACCAGTTAGAGTTCTTTGGCTGAATATACTGCCATTAATTAAGTTATAAGTGCGTAACTGCCTTTGCTTAATGTTATTTATTGACAACAGCTTGGATGGAGATTGAGGTCCCCGTTACTCGTTAGTATTGACATTTAGTTATTTGCCGGTGCAAGGTCTACATCACTTTGATTTATATCGCGTTTGTCGTGTCTCTATTTTATTTCCTGTCGAACCTGATATCAGATGCAATTGATTGACTCAACCATCTATTATTATTTTTCGGTTAGAGATCACATAGCATCTCGTGGTCGTGGAAGCTCGCTGTTTCACAACGATCAAGGTTTCCATGTGACTGCATTAAGTAACGAGGGGTGCCTATAGAGCGGTCAATTATAGCGGTAGGGAAAAGGACAGTTTGGCAGAGGAGCATGTGGGTGCTTGTTTCGACCTTCTTTAAAGTTGGATCCTTGTTGGAAATTGGATGTAGAATAGGATAAACCTTGCTAAGAGAACTGTAATTTTAGTAAAAGATATATTGACTTGCCGTGGGTGCTAGGCTGCTAGCAGCATTCTGCCCTAATTATGGAATCGAGTCCGATTTCCAAAATAACTAATGTTTTCACCTCAAAGCTTAAAGAGAGAACCAATAAAATTTCAGAAATAGAGCTGCCCGCTTTTCAGAAAGAACACTTTGCCCACTTAGTTTCGCAAACTAAGGTTGCAAATGGCCGGCTGGGTATGTTATATAGGTCGCCTTTGATTTGTAGAGGTTAGTGATTGGTGTAGGTTTGCTATGCCCAATAAATAAATAAATAATAAAGTTAATAAAAGGTAAACTTCTTGTTTCAGGTTTTTTTTTTTACTATCAAATTTAATATATTACGAAAGTTTTTAAAAAATTCCATATTCCAAACAAAATTTTAAATTCAAAAAAACTTGACAAACATATATATATATATAATTGAGAATAATGCACTCACTACAAAGATTAAATTTTTTGAATAAAATATAATTTCAACTATCAAATTTGATATGATATCGAAGTTTTAAAGAGGTCCAATGATCAAATAAAAATTTTAAAATCTAAATCACTTGATAAATTCTAAAAGATGAATTAAAAATAAAAAAATTAAAAAACATATTCTACATCGAATAAATAAATAATAAATAAGTAATATATAAAGTTAAAAAATAATTATATATCAGAAAATTTGAGTCTTTTAAATGGGAACTAAAAATTCCAACGGTCCAAGATAAACTACAAATCAAAACTGAATTTTTTATATAAAATTTAATTTTAACTATTAAGTTTAATAAGATTATACAATATAATTTTAGCAAGTATTGTATAATTCATAGTAACTCACTTCAATAGACTGAAAATTAAATTGTAAATGGTAGGAGTGCTTAATTTTTTTTTCAATTATTCTACTAGTTTAACAATTTATTCAACAGCACCATTCATTGTAAAATTAGTTCAATTAGGATCGATTGTTGATTGACAATTACTCAATTGACTGGATATGGCATGAGAAAATAATTTACTTATAGAATGAAAATTGGTCTTATGTACCAGATGAATGATATAAAGCAAAATGAATTGTAAAACTCAAGCACATAAAAACGAAACAACTCTTCTAATATAGTATGGATTTGAGTTGCATCGTTATTTGATCAAGATTTTATAAGAAAATAAATGATTAGATCACCCCACCATCATCATTCATCCACCAACACCACCTCTCCCCTAACGTCATTGTTATTGCCATTGACATTTCTGTCGTTGCTTTCGCCACCACATCTCCTCTCCCGCCCCGCCCGCCCCCGACCCAACCCCCCCACAGCAATCACCTTCATCATGGTAAATACCACTACCTCCATCATCATTCCAACATGACCTCTTTATTACTATCATTCTATCTACATTTACAGACCATCCTGATCACTACTTCCACATCTACTATCTTACTATGGTCACCATCATTTCATTAATATTGTATTATCATCACATTTTTCATATAATTATTTATCAAATATTAAAAAACATGATCGGTACAAAATATTTTATGAAACAAGATTTGACACGTAGAATATTTGTTTTTTTTAATGTAATTATATATATATAACAAACTATTCCAGAATTTGTAGCTGAATTCTACCTAAATGTTCTTGAAGTGGTTACAATTTCTTGTTTGCCAACTCTCTTCTTTACATCATCCCCTTGAAAAACCTCTCCTTTTATCTTCCCAAAAAATAATGATCTCATTTTCACTTAATCCAAAATATTTTTAAAACTGTGTATGTTTTATTACAATTTGACAATTTTAAGTTTTTATTGCTTATTTGCATAATTTGAATATTAAAATATTGAGTTTTAGACAAATCTTATCCATATTAATTAATTATGATGGTCAACCTAGTTGATCGTTATTTTTCTCTACTATTATTTGAAAAAAAGGTTAAAAATGCTCTTTTTTCATTTTTCAAAAGAGATTCTTTCTATTTAATTTTTTTCACATATTAATTTTTTGATTTTTCATAGTCAATCAAATTGTTATTTGTATATAATTTTTTCTAAAAAATTTTTAAAAATAACTTTTATATAGTATCATTACCCATTGAAACAATCAACTTCTATAATTAATAAAATACAAATATCTATTGGTTGAATTTGATTAATTGAAATTATTCAATAATTAATTTTAACTGAAAATTTTCTTATGTCATGACAATAAAATTATTTTTGTGATTGTCAATCATTAAACTTTAAATATAACCATATTTATTTATTTATTTTGTTATTTTCACATGTTTTATAGGATTTTTTTTCTCACAATTGACAAATATATAATATGCATTTAAAATTTTTTGAGTTAGAAAATAATTTTTTAAAAATTTTTAATTTTTAATTTTTTTTAAATAGGTTCAAAAGGTAAAAGCTCCTTTTCAGGGATATAAAAAAATTTTAGCAATAAATTTAATGAATATTTTTTATTTATTTATAGGTAAACGGATGGAGAAAGAATAATATCTCTTGAAAACTAAAAGAAAAGCATTTTTTTTAAATAACAGTAAAAAAAATAATAAAAAAAGTTAATAATCAACTAGATTGACCATTATAATTAATAGATTTGGATAATATTTATTTAAAAACTAATATTTAAATATTTAAATTATAGAAATTAATAAAAAAAATCTGAAATTATTAAATTGTAATAGAATGGTGGTAATGTTTTACAGTAAAACCATTCAAAATATTATTTATTTCCTTCCAAAAGACTAATGGCTTTCAGGGTCCAGATTTAAGTTTTTCCCCTGGATACTGATGTTTGGGCCTTTGAGTTTTGTGGCTTCACATGCGTTGGACCTTACAGCATTTGAAACCTTTAAAAAAGCACCGACTTAAAAAAAGAAAAAAAGTTTGACACAGAAAAAATCAAGTCCCTTCGACATATAAAACCGGCAACATGTCACTTCTCATCTTAAAGAAATCGCGCTTAGGGTTTTGGGCACTTGAGAGCGGCGCAGCGAGTTAGGGTTTTCTTCGTCGATTTAAAAACGAGATGGGTCACTCAAATGTTTGGAACTCGCATCCCAAGAACTATGGTCCTGGATCCCGCACCTGGTATTTCATCGATCTCACCATGTGTCTCTCTAGTTACCGCCGTTTTGATTTTTTGATTTCCATGTTTTAGTTTCATGTATGGACTTGTATTTGATTTGTGTTCAACATCTTAAGTTATCCATGTTCGGTAGTTAGTTTTCAAATAAGAAAGAACAACTCATGAAAATCTTATTTGCTTGAAGAGTTATAGGCTAGCGAATCTTATACTGAATCTAGACTTAGTCCTTACTTTGGTTTTCTGTTAGTTTTGATGTTTTGTTTGATTATCAGCATTGTGTGCTTAGGTCCTTATTGCTGTAAAAAGTGATGGTAATGCATTGTTGTTCAACTTATTGTATTCTGTTCTTATGATCATGTTACACCAGTTAGCTTTGTTGACTGAACCTATTTCCTGAATGAATTGTGTTTATCAATATGATGTATGAAATTTTATCTATTTTGTTGCGAATTTTGATTTGGAATCTCCTTGTTGGCAGCCGAGTGTGTGGAAACCCTCATGGGATTATCAGGAAGTATGGATTGATGTGTTGTAGGCAGTGCTTCCGCAGCAATGCCAAGGAAATAGGTTTCATCAAGGTAAAGACGTCTCAAACATTTGTTAATTTTTCTCTCGTTTTTTTATTTACATTTATTTTTGTTGGCTTATACAGTTTTATAGTTGTATTCACTGTACTTGAAATGCCCTTTAGATTGGTATCTAGTTCTTATCATACAATTTAAACTTTTGAGATCTTTTATTTTCTAATATTTCTTAATGAAATGTTTGGTTAGATAGGTCCTGTAAGTTAAAATGATGCAAAACAGTAACGAATTCCTCCTGGCCTGAATTTGTGGATGAATCTTGTATTATGCAAGTGGTTGCGGGTTCACATCTTCCTAGAGAATTTTAGGTTTCAACCCTCATCTTTTTAAAGGGAAAAAAAGAATCAAACAGGAAAAATTTCTCCAAGCAACTTCTTTGAAGTGTGGCATTGCCTAGATTACTCTGCATTCTTGTTTTCCAAATTTGTTTATGAAGTGCGGTGAGACTTATTTGTGTTTGTTTCTGATTGCAGTACCGCTGAATGGAGAACTTGTTGATATCAATTTTTGAAAGCTTTGTCTGAAATATGGTGCAAGTAGTTTTGATTTTTCTTTTTTGGCCTCGATGGTGTAATCCACTGGATTCAGAAGTTCTAATTATATTGTCTGTTGTTTAGCATCTGAACCAACGTAATTGTTATTTTTGGGACTGGAATTTCAAAACTACTTTGCTTCTCTCTTTTAGTTCACTGGTTTTTTGTTTTTAATTTTTCCTTTGTTGAGAGTTCTGTTTTAGCATCAGCCAATCTCGGGGGATTTACAGATTTTGTTTTTGGTTTAAGCTTACACTTGTGTTCAACAGAGTTGTTTAGAGATGAACCCTGCCTGGAGGCTTTATGGAACTGATGTTTTAAGTGCCACATACCATTCTTGCAACCTTAGCTCAGGAAGTAGGTTTTCTTTTTGTCTGCCTGGATGGCTTTGTATTGGTATGTCCCTGTGTCACCCCACCCTGGATTTTGGAGTTCGTTGGGATCTGGTTACTATCGAAGTTGTGTTTCCAAAATATTCTTTGAGCGTGCATGCAAGCCACAAATATTTTGCTAAGATAGAATGAATTTGCAGGCTTTATTTGGAGCTCCTGCTGGTTTCTTGCCAAAATAGAATATTAATTTTGCTTGATACCACCAATCAATTTAATTTAGCCAGCTGGCAAAAACCAAGGAACTCCAGATGCCCAAATTGCATATGAATTTCGCATAATTCCATGAATCAATTTAATTCGGAACCAAATGGTTCGGGGATGTAATTAAGATGTACAATTGAGGCTACTGTTTAAGAGACTGGAAATGGTATAAATTAAATCCTACATGCCTGGTTTTCGGGTATACCTCCTTTATGCTGCGGTCGCTGGTTATGGTTTTTGTGGCCGTGGTGGTACCGGAAACAAACCCTAGCAGCCATTAATGCGTAGAGAAAATATGCAAGGATATTTATTTCATGGAAAATGACATTGAGGCCCTTACCCAGCTGTGTTCTGAGCAAAGGAAACCCTTGAGATGTTTGGACCAGTGCCCGTTTCGAAGGTTCTCAGAATAACTTCTGGAAAGCACTTTCTACCATAAAGTCTTGTGCTTTTATAGAATTGATGCATAAAGGCTACAGTAATATCCAAATCCGGAAGTACTCCCCCTGATCAATATATATACGCACGCACATATTGAACCCTACTAAGATACCCCATCGGACTATAATGTATTGAACCGTATCCGGTCACCTTATCAAACTCTTGATTTGAAGAACCAGATGGTAATTCCAGCAGTAGGATTTTCATTTGCTTGCTTGTATGGCTTCGTACTGGGGGCTTACCGAGTCATTCACTCACCACCCTGATTTTGAAGTGTGCTGGGGTCCAGTTACTAGCAAAGTCTTATTTCCAAAAGATTTTTTGAACATGCAAGCCTTTGAAGATGCAAGCCCCAAGTATTCGGCTAGATCGAATGAACTAGCAAGATGTGTATTTGGAACACTCCCGATCGTGGTAGAAATAAGCCTAACTTGCTAAAGCCGAACCCTCAGCTAATAATACTTAGAACCTTTAATTGCAATCGTCATATTTATTTATGATCTGTTTCTTATATAATATGAGCATCCCTTTTTCATTACGGAAGCTCTGTTTGCTTGTGATTTTGTAATCTGTGATAGTATTTGAGGCTACTCAGACTTGGTCACTTCGCGATGGTTTTTTTCCGTCCCGGTCCCTGCTAATCTTCGCAGTTCCAACGATTAAGACAAGACCTATAAGGCATTGAAATGGATCAAAATTCCTATTAGTCTTGTTGAATCCTGGTCTTAATTGGTTGTCCAGCTTCTCGCTTTCATTTTCCCCACCACAAATGTCGGGTCTCTGTCCCATATTTCGTGCTTCGAAAGGCTTCGCCCATACTTCGATGACTCTTCTGCGAGGAAAGATAAGAAATTAAAGTCAAAAGTTAATGCTTCTATACGTGTTCGGGTATGATACAAATATATATATATATATATATCAGTTTGCACTCCATTATGGATCATCCTACTCCGGCCTGGCTTTTAAGTAGTAAATTGCTGTCTCTCATCCATTACTGTAAATATTGACCAAGACATCCTTTAAGTTGTCGTTTGTCTGAAAAGAGAGACTGCTGTGGAAGCATCTCATTGGAAGGGGATTTTTGTTTTACATCGTTCATGCGACCGTGGAATGGACATGTTAGTATGTAAGATCAGCTCTCTTAGCTTGAATGAAAAAAATAAAAATAAATAAAGGACGATACAGCTTTCAAATGATAGAAAATAAGATTCGTAGCTAGTTGATAAGATTGCTTAACATCTCATGGATTTTGTTTTGTTTTTTTTTTTTGAACTGACTGAGAGTATTCAGTCATTGACTAACTTAGCTCCTAAGGAGATGTAAGTACCAGAACTTCATCTCAACGATCCTCTTGGTCTTGGAGGTTTGGCCCAAGCGATAAACGGATTTACTTTCTTCATTGTTATGAATCCAATTTAATGGCGAGGCTCCTTAAAAAAATTTCTTATAGGCTATCGATTTAATTATGAATCACTTCTGTAAGATCAAAGTGGAAAAGATCTAAGTCTGTTTGTGTTTTCTGTAATGCGGATGATGAAGACAGGAATCACCTCTTTTCCACATGTAAGTTTTCTATAATAATATGAGACCAAATTCTTCGGTTTTGTGTAAGTGATAGAATGGTTTCTTATTGGAGTTCAGAATTTTGTTAGGGAATTCAGTTCTGCAGAAGAAGTTTTTTCATTCTGATCCATCAGATGTGTTGAAAACAAAAACATATGCATAAAACAAAATTACAAACTACAGGTTTTCATTTTTTATTGTTTTTTTTTGTTTTTTGTGTAATCAAAATTAGAATCAACTAATTAATAGTAATTCAAACAAAATAAATAAACAAAACTACAATCAATAAGCAAATTTTTACCTAAAAATTTCAATATAGAGAAGAAAATGTATTGGACCGTACTTCACTTAAACTCTTTTATTATATCAAATAATAGAATATAAGATTCTTATTAGAGAATACAAATTAAAACATAAATCATCATTTTATTGATACAACAATAACAACAATAATAAAAAATGATTAAATCTTATAAAATAGATTTTTAGAAAATATCCAAAGTTAAAAACTTCTCAGCAAATCAGCATTGCTAAAATCCAAGAGTTTCTGACCGGAACAACATATCAAAATTTTATTTCAAATATAAAGAATAATCTTTCTCTCTATCCAGGCGGTAGAATTTTTCTTGTTTCTTTTTGTTATTTGTTGCTGCTTTAATTAAAAAATTTTAAAATATTTAAGAAATAACTATTGTATATTTATCATAGTTACTTTATGAGTTTTTTTTTTTTTTATGAACATAAAAAAGAAAAAAATTCACAATCAGATCCATTAAAAATGAGAAAAATATTTTTATTTTACTCAAGTTATTTCTTTTAATTTTCACTCTCAATTTCTTTCTTTTATTTATTTATTTTTTTCTTATAGAATAAGCATCGGTAATTACTAATATAAATTTTATCGCTTTAATTTAATGGGCTGGCTTGTTTTTACGCACGAATATAAGTCACCCGGTGAATTCTTATAATGGTCCCTTACGTGTCCAACTTTTGCTATTCTGATTTTTTTTTCTTTTGTATATTTTTTTCTTATTTATATCATAGATTTTGAGTTATGTACGAGGAGGACCTAATCTAAAAAGATGAAGACAATATCGTAACGGATATTGTTCCAGCTGTCCAATTAAGGCTTCAGGATACTAAAATTCTGCAGGAAGCGATTAATAATCCCAACTTGACAAGATTTTGTGATCTTTGGAACTTTTATAAAGCTTAGTTTTTTTTGGTAATCTGTGCTGTGAGTAACTCTTGTAAGCAGGTTTCTCCTGTTTTCGGATGATCTTTGAAATTCTTTCATTCATCCAAAAAAAAAAAAAAGTCTGGATATATTAAAGTTGTTCTTTTATGTACTTATGATGCGAAAATTTCAAAAGTTATTGATATCTTTTAATTTTTATTCCTCCTGCAAAAGAAATTATTTCTCCAAATATTTGAAATTAAGGTAAAAAAATATTTATTAGTTATATTGTATCCTGAAAACTTGATCGTTGTTAAGTTATTGTGTAGAAGAAAATTATTTGATGAATGCGATCTATTCTTAATAATAACAGTGAACACATGCACATCACGACCTATAAATTGATTTTCTTTTCTTATTTGATATATATTGTTATTTATAAGCAATTTTTAGCCTTTCGTTACGTTGTTATTATTTTTTTTTTTTGCAAGATTTGATGGGCTTACCCACGAATGAAAGAACAAATATCTTTCCCGTTGCGTAACTCCAAATCCAAATGTTGCTCATTTGGAGTTTCTGATCAATGAAATGCTGTCGTTAGATAATCAAAGATGGTGCATTAGCATAGCAGTTTGGCGCAAAATTGCTTTTGCTTTGCTGCCACTTGTCAGGAGCAGCAGAGGACGTGCCTGACGGCTCGCATTCCACCACAACTCTTTCGAAATCAAGCATTAATTTCTTTCATTCATTCCTCACTGTTTTTCATCTACACTAAAAAGCAAACAACACGAAGACAATTTACTACGCTTCCTGCATCTCTCCAGCAATGTAAGACAATGATCACATGCTTTCTTTTATTGTTCACTTACCCTCATAAAAACAAAGAAGTCTTCTTTTTAAATTCCTAGACATGGGCTCTTAGCCTTTTACTCCTTATCTCCACTGATTTCCTGGTGGACTAACATTCTCTCAATCTTTTGTGACGAAAGCTCAGCGATCATATTTTTTTTCTTTTTTCTGGTCTTTTCTCTCGTGAGCTAACTTGCTTACTACGGGGCTGTAAGGTGTCTTTTTAAAGAAAACTTTTTACCGGTGGGGTTCGAGGAGACATTTTTTTTTCCTGTGTGTCCATTCTGTTATTTTGACATCATGAAGGTTTCTGGGCTCTGGATTTTGTACTTGGTGGCTGGGACGGCTTTAATGTTCCTTAACTGCTCACCGGGCACAACATGCTTGGCAATTGCTGGTAAGTGATACAACTAAATATTTTCAGTTCCACTTGTGGTTTTGCATGCATTATCGTACTATAAGACAAAGACATTGGCAAAACATTTCTGACTTCATGTAGGATCTTGCAGAAATTCTTATTGTCTTTTCTTGATTTTGTTGTTGGGTTTTGATTTTTGATAGTGCTTGCTCTTTTATTGCATATTCACATTTGGTTCTCACGATTAGGAAACAGATCGAGAAAATAATGTAACGATAACCTTTTCTTTTTTATTTTGTGGATATATGTTATCCATGATCGATACCTTAAATGAGTTTCGTCCCTCTTCATCACGAAATTGTCATTGTCAAGGTTATGATTCCGATCTCTGTAATTGAAGCAAATACTACTTGTTTTATTGACTAAACAAAAAAATTAAATTTTCTCTTCAGTGAATATAGTCGTTTTTCATTCAGCTTTCAATTGCGGAAGCCACGGTAAGAAACGGTGCTTGCAATACAAAAATCCATGCTTTTACTTAAAGAGTTGAATTTCGTAATCCCTATTCGGCTGTTCTATCATCATACTTGCAGCATTTCTCATTGTGGTTAGTTGTCATGACATATCAGGTGAAATTATACATAGAAAATCCAAATCATACCTGAGTAGAACTTCTTAAATCCCAATTATTTATCAGGAAATTAATCTGTCTAATCATTAAGGTGCTTAAATTAAGTTTAATTGAACACAAGCTTTTCTGCAACTTTCTCTGTCAGACTGCAGAGAGCATACATGTTAAAAAAGAAAAAAACATAAGAAAAAGATACTGAAGGTTATTATTTATGCGAGAGTACTCCTAAACGAATTAAATTTATTTGGTGCGCCGCTCAATCAGGGCAAGTAGTAAACACTTGGAGTGCCGGGTGGAGTCTATGAATCAGACAACCAATGCAGTCGGTGCAGTTAACTGCTCAGTGCATTGAGTTTTGCACAGAATGAATTCTTAGTTCAAAGCCTTGTGTAACCAAAGGAAGACTGAAAAGCCACTTAACACAAAAATAATGAAGAGGTGATTAGAGTTCTCTTCTTAAAACCCTGCTTCAGAGAGGCCGTAACTAGTATTCATTAGGCATCTGTCGTTATTCTTGAATGGATCACTAGTTTTAGGGACTGAATAGTGAGCAGAGGAGCGAATAATATTTATTTGTTATCTTATAAACATGCTGCAACAGAGTGTTCAGTTCAAAATGCCAGCGTCAAATCATGGGATTCTTTGATTTCTTGGCGAACTTTTCCAGAAACTACTAGTGAATTGTAATTGCATTTTAGTATCTCTCCTCTAGTACCTTACAGTGATGTGCAACCATCATACATTGGTTGGCAATTAGTCCTTACACACAAGAACTTCTGGCTATTTCCTGTATTCTTTGCTTTTGTCTTCAATAAGCTTTTTCCAACAGTGGGCAAGTATCTATATGCTTGCAACCCTTATATGATCAGTCTACATATTATGTGGAGTCTGTTTGTAATTCATGTCAGTGATTATGCTGTGGATTTGGTGCACAAAATCACGATGGATACTTTTTCCTGGGAGAACTGCTTTAGTGGGGGAAACAGCCAAATTAATTTTCAATGTTGCCAAAACACAATTTATTGAATTCTGATTATCATTAGAGAAGGAAAGAAAGAACGAAGAAATATTTTTTTCTGGCTAGCAGGAACCAATGGCTAATGAACATACTAACACCATGTTTTTCCTAAATGTAATTCCAGATGTGGTCTTCACTGACTCTAGCAATAGCATGACAATGGCAGCAACAAGCAGGAAGCTCAAGGTACATGCACTCTAGGCATACAAGGGCATATAGGCTAAAGAGAACCATTCATATTGCTTTAATTATTAGCATGCAACACACCAATCAACTGATCCCTTTTTATTGTTGTCCCATGAAATTGCAGGATAATGGGTATAATCCGAATGGTGATGTTAAGAGCAATGCACAGAACGTGAATCTGGAAGATTACCATCCTATTGATCCAGTTCCAAGTTCAAAAGCTTCCATAAAACCTGGTCCCATTGAGCATGGCACTCCTCTTAACCCATATATTCCCAAGCCTTCTCCTCCTAGTCCTGGTCATCCTTTGGGTTAGCTTGGTGAACATACTCGTTTCCCAAAAATGATGTAGCCTCTTAATCTCTATTTGGTATTTTAAGTACGTACCTTGTCTATTTTAATGTCTGCGTATTGCTAACTCATGTATCCTGCTTTGCTTGGTTTGAATTTGCTTGTAATTTGATGAAGTGAATGTCATTTGCCATCTTCAACAATAATTTTAATATTTATGCAGAAGTGGAGTAGTAATTAACTAATTGTGCTGCATGTTCTTTAGGTTACTTGCTTATACTTGTTATAGAGATCTCTTGCCTGAAAGATGCTCAAGCTCTAGTCTCCTAATCTATGGTTGGTCACTTTAAGCTTTGAGTTCAAGTGTTCTACTGGAATGACTTCCAAACAGCCGTATTGGTACTTTTGGGGATTCACAATTTGTGCATCTAGCAGATATATTTGCTAGAATGCGAACCCTCGCCCTTAGATTTGTTAAAAGCTTTTTCTTATGCTCTGATATCCATTTTCCTGATAGGTGAATTCAGTGAACAATCTTTTATTTTCTTTCAGAAGGGGCTATGTATGGTCCAATAGAAGATACAACGAGTCTTGGGCTATATGTGTGGAATGGGATTTGACCACTTTTGAATCTCTCATGCTCAGAAACGTGACCTCAGATAACTTGAGTATATCAGTCTAAAAAATTAGTTATAATAACCATAACAAACAATTTTGGATAAGAAAGAATTTTAATTAATATAAGCTTTTCCAGGCTGACCATTCCTCCGGTCCTCCCTGACCTATGCGGGGATTCCAGGATAAGCTGGGTTGCATCTTCATCTAGCTATAAGTATTATTTATGGAACTTTCAATCAATGGCAACTCCATTTCTACTTTACATCTACCTTTGTTTTTGCAATTTTTTGACTACCGATATTGCTTGCAAATTAATTACCCTGAATATTATGCGGGAATACCTACTAGGCAACCAGCAGAAAACAAGTCAAAAACCTGGAGAGAATAATAATCATGGTGTCACTTTCGAGGGTCCTAAGAATTGAGTGCTAACCATGATTAGTTTTATCCTTCCGAAAATGATCTAGCGGGTAGCCAAACCAAACCTAAAAGCAGAAAATAACAACAACGACAATAACAATAATAATAATAATCAAGGTAAGTAAAATTATCCACACACCAACCCTTGACCAGGCCCAAAAACAAAAACCATCCCTTCCTCTCCAAGCTAAATTTTATGACCACCCAATTTTGCTCTTCCTTTCCTACCACCAAGCAACGTCTCACCTAGCTAGTGCAACGATATTCTCCTACAGCTCATTCTCTCTTGTCAATCGCTGAATGAGAACATTCTCCTAGTCGCCACTGTCTCAATTCTTTTCCTTCTTTTCTTTTCTGGGCCTGCTAGTGGAAAGATGAGTATGTTACTTATTAAAGCAAAATTGGGACCAAGAAAAAAAAATCAGTTATCCTAACTTTCAAGGTGGGGTATCTGTCGTACGTAAGTTTAGAAACATAACTTAATAAAAAGCTTAGTTGCCTTAAAATCAATTATAATATAAATTGTTGCTTAAGTCATGACACTTTCTAACTCCTAACGATCATGATTTGTCAATAAAGGTTTGGTTTTAAATTGATTGTCATCTTTGTTAAGTTATTAACGAATTTGGTTGCTTGTAGATCAGTAACACGTGTCAATTTGTGAGATTTAAACCTTATTGATATGTGATCTCTGTATAATTTTATTTACTAAAGTTGTTGAGATTGTGATCTATCAAAACGTTTAAGCATAGATTGAGTGTTTTTTTTTTAATTTTATATATTATTCATATTTTGTTTATATTGAATATATACGATATGTTTTTAAATAATTTCGAACCAAATGATATCCCAGTCAACTTTACAATTGTTTATATCTTTTCTAATTTGATTGAGTTTGCCGGTTGTAATTGTGTTTATTCGTAAAAACTAACTATGTAGTTTCTATCTTTAGTTTCGTATTATTCATAAAAAATATTTTTCACATAAAATTAAGAAAATATGTTTTATAAATACTAATTTTTCCAAAATAATAAATAAAACTCTTGTTTTTTCTTACATAAATTTGATTAAAAAAAGTAATAAACATAAAAAATTTGATGACCAAATAAAAGAAATAAACATAATAGAAAACACATTCCTGAAAAAAATTCCACAAGTATATACCTAAGATTATTTTGGACTTAAATCAATTGAGGTAAGATTGGCGTGATAACTGACTATTTTGGAAAAAATGAGTTTGGCTTCCATTATTGCAATCTGAGATGAATTGATGGTTTTCGTTTTCAATGTTAAAATGGTATTTTTGGATTAGTGTTCATGCACCAAGACAAAACAAAGACACACGAGCAAACGATGGACTTCAATTTTATTTTGGTTTCTACATTTTCAAAAAACGAAAAATCGAAAAGGAAAAAGAAACTGAACAATCTGCATTATTTTCATCATATGAATCCTTGGTAAGAATCTATCACCGTCCAAACCCACCAATTACCATTAATGGAATTAAATCATAAAAGTTATGACTGCGTATTTCTGAGGTTGTAGTGCCAGTGTAATGTGGAGAAAGAGTCATGGGACCCATGAGATCCAGAACCTGTATAAAAGAAAAGGAAGATTCATATAGAGAGGCAGGGACAGAAACAGACAGCAATTGGACGGGCCATCCTAGAAAGAGCAATGCTTTTTTATTAGCTGATGATGTAGTGTTTGCTCCTTGATCTTTATGCGCAGTGATTATCAGAGTGCTTGTGCCTTTTTTTATCTGCAATAAAACAGTACTAACTATTCATGTCAGGTGCTTATTAGAGAAAGAACAAGTAAGAACTTCTGATAAATATATTTCTAGGAAAGATTGCTTGACATAAGTGGTGCGAAAGCAATTTCATATTTATCACATCATCTTCATAAAATAATGATGTATTGTTTTCTGTAGCCATTCCTTGCCATCTAATCAATAAGATCTTTAATAATTAGTGTTGAGAGTTAAATGAAAATTTTAGACAAAAACACCTAGTTTAGCAGAAGCTTGTTTGCAGACCTTAGATTTATCTGCGAGAATTGTTCATAAAGAAAATGTTAAAAAAAATCTTTTTTAATTTGAGTGCTAACGAAGGAACAAACTTTTTTTCTGAGTGGTCCTACTATGCATTAGTTTCACAAGCATGCAAAGTTCTAGTAGTCTCCAAAGTCGTACGTGATTCTGATTTATAGACCTCAAACTTGTCCACGAGCAATGTGTATAGTTTTTCAATAGTAGATTTTCGATTGCCACTAGATCCTGTTCGTTAGTGTAAATTGCAGAATACAAACAACCACCTTTTAACGGCACAAGATACTTATCCTATATCAAGCTTTTTCCTTTTCTTTTCATTTTTTTTCAAAACTGACAACCAGTAATTTTTTTATTGGATTAAACTTATATTTGAGAAGAGGGTGATCATTCGGATTTTTCTGTTCGGGTTTCATTAATCAAACCTAAGAAAATATATAAATCAAACTCAAACTGAATTATTATTTGATTTTTGATTTTTGATTTAAAACAATTTTTTTAAAGTAATATAAATAGATAAAAAACAACGTCAATCTATCATATTTCTATAATATAATATTAAGATATTATTGTTTTTGTTTATTTGCATTATTCTAAAACTTATAAAAAATAAAAATAAAAATAATAAAAAAAAATTTTTGGCTTTTGGTTTAAACCAAACCAAAAATTTCAAAAATCAAACTGAAAATTTTTTAAAAAATCAGGTCGTTTTTTTATATTTTGTTTTTGAGTTAAAAACCAATTCAAAATTGATATTTTGGTTTGGTTGTTTTGTTTAGATTGAATAGCATCCGCTTCTAGAAGAGATAATATTGAGAGAGAAAATGTTGATTCCGTACAATAATCTACTTAAACTATATATATAATCTTGAAGTACAAAAAAAATAGTTCAATCTATATATAATAAGGTAATGCTCTAATATGCTCTTATATTTTTAATTGAGTTAATCTTATTATTTTGAATATACATTAAGTTTTTAGTTTATTATTTTGACAAAATTTTAAGATAAAATTATCAAAAATAGTCACATGATTTGCATATAATTATTGTTTATTTTCAAAATATAGTTGTAAACTGAACAAATAGAAGGTTTTTATATCTAAATCATGTGTCTAATTTCGATAGTCTAGTCTTAAAATATTGCTAAAAACTTAATACTATTCAATGATAAAATTAACTCAATTATGGATATAAAAACATATTGTTGAACCGTCTTGTTATATAAGTGTAAATTATTGTCTTATTATATAAGTATAAACTAAGCTTAGGATCATAATAGAGAAAAATCATATTTTGGCCTCATCAATATGTATTTAATAGGCAAATCAGATTCAGATTGAATCCTTTTTTTTTAATATATATATATTAAACTCGTCCTTCTTGTTTTAATAAATGAATTAATTTATTTTTTTAGTTGTAAAAACTAATTATATAGTTATTTTAATTAATATTGATCACGTATAATTTAATTTTTTATTTTATAAAATATTTTTTCATTAATTTTTCATATTTTTTATTTTTTAAAACCAAAAATCAAAATGAATAAAAAGTTAAAAAAAATGACTCAATAATAAGTTTTTAAAACTAAAAAAAATTATTTATTTATTTCTCAAAGAAAAAGGTATTGATTTATGATTCACTCATAAATACCAGAAATTTAACCAAGAGAGAGTTTTGGGCTTAAAAAAAAAAAAAAAAACCGAGGCATTTAAGCATTTTTAACTGGTGAAGTTAATACTTCCACATGGTCCATCTCCATAAATGAAATGTGTGCTAAAAAGACAAAAAAAGCATGTTATAACGATGGATTTTCCGTTAGGACCGTTACCATTCGTCTTATTTTGGAACTGGAACGATAAAAGGATTACCACACAGGTTATGAATACATCAAAGGTTTTCGAAGGTGAAAAATAACTAGAAATGTACGGGTCTGGGGTGGAAATGATTTGGATTAGTTTCGAATTTTAACCACTCGGGTTAACAAAGCAAAGCACTAATGACTTGGGATTAGCTGACAGAGAGTTTGAGTTATGAGAACTCAAAGCAGGATCATAGTCCTTTTTCAACAAAAGAAGATTAGTTGTAGTTAGTTAGCCTTTGGTTATTGGGGACGCAAGCGACTTTGCTTAGTCCAAATTAATTATTGGGTTTTAATTTAGTTGGTGATTACACGTTTCATTTTCCTTTTGAAGTGGTTGATGCTCCATGAAAAAATGAAAAAGTAAAACTTATATAAAGGAAAAAAAGGGTGAAAATAGAGGCTTTTATAAGAAGCAAAGCATACCCAACATTTAATTCAGAATCCATGATGGAACCTAGGAAAAATTAGTTGCGCCCAAAACATCATTATGACGGTTTGGTGAAAAGTTTAATCCAAGAGATGATTAAATGATAACCGATAATTTTTTTGACACACTGTGGGTTTCAGGATTTACGTAACAATATTATGCTGATATTGACTGACATTGAAGTCCTTCCATCTTGTGTCTCTGTTCTCGTATGAATAAAATTTAAGACTAAATGTCTTGTCAGCGCAAGTAGGTTTGTTTAACCACAATCTCTTAGTCTGGTGTCGTAATTTGACCCTCATTTTCCATTTTATCTCAAGCAAAAGACACAAACCATTATTTTCGATATCGCAAAAGCATAATGGACGTTATCAAATATTGATTAATGAATTGCTTGGCAAATTATGCATTTAACTAACAAAACAAACTTACAAAAAAAAAATCATTTTACGTTAAGCAATTAAATCCTTTCCCCCTTATTGTAAATGTCTTTGTCCTTCCCAGTCTAATGACTTGCTTTGAAATTTACTTTTTATTTTACGTTAATCAATTAAAGCATTTTTTTTCCTGAAAAGCTTAATTCAAGTACGAGTATATTACCACAAACTCAAAATACTCTAGTTTGAACTGAAAATTCTTCCTTGTAAATCTTATATTCAGTTTACTTTTGAAGAAAGTACGAGTTTAGTCTAGGAAAAAAATCACATTAACATTAATTTAACACCTTTGTTACCTCTAGTGCCGTTTTAGCTACCACAATGTGCACCTACCACGAGCTGTTGTTTGTAAACAATAAGCATGCATGGCTTTGCCCTTTCTTCATTTTAACAGGAAAATTTGGTAATCCAAACTATTGGGGGAAGAAAAGGCCATTATTTTAAGACTTGCCAAATGAAAAGTCCTAAATTAGTCTCACAAGGCCAAAATCACAACGGCTATTTTTTTTATAACGTGTTAATGGTTCGCGGGGTTGTTCTACTCTCTTTTTTTTATTATTATTAATAATATTATTATTATCCTGAATTCATCTATCTGTATTTGATTTTTATCTTAATCTTATAATTTTGTTAATTTTTTAGATTAACTGTGTTAAACTGCACCATAAACTTCACAAGATTGTAATAAGTATTAATCTTTTTTTCTTAATATTGTCCCTCTATTTTTTTAAAACCAAATTTAAATAAAGAAATAAAACTAAAAAGAAAGGGAGCACATATCCTGTCTTTTAATCACCTTTGAGTGTATATTCTCAAAAACATCTTAACATAATTTATATTTTTACTTTGGAGTCAAGTTAAGAAGTTTATAAAATAAAAATAAATAAATCATAATAAATTATTTTAAGGTATTATAAGATTACGAATATCACTTAAAAATTTAAAATTTTAACTAAAAAGCCAACTTAATATTTTAAAAAATGTTATAAATTTTATACTTAAAATTTACTTACTATAATAAAAACAAAATTAAAGTGATGTTTTGGATTAAAAAAAATATATCTTCACCTTTTTAAAAAATATTATAAATATTTCATTTTATATTCAAAATTTACTATCATATAAATAAACATAAACATATTTTGAATAAGAAAATATTTTTATCTCAATCTTTTCTTTTCAATTTTTTTTTTTGTAAAATTTATTTATTTAAACAAAAAGATGGAGAGATGAGATTTTTTTAAAAAAATTTGACACGTATCACAATACAACGATACTAATAGTATGATTTAACACTGTTAACTCTGCTAAAATATAATTTAATATTATTAATCTAAAAAATTAATAAAAAATATAAATAAAAAGTAAATAGATAAATTTAAAAATAAACAAATAAAAAGATACGATTAAAACAAACGAGGATAAAGAATCCTGGAACCATTAGCCTTGATTATAAATAAATATAAAATTCAACCCATTGTCGTTTGCGTAACGTCTCTCCGAAGATTCACACACTCCTCTCAGTCCTTTCCCCATCTTTTCATGCACCTACAGCAGCGTACAAAATTAACCCAAAAACTCGCTTCCACATATAGCCACGTTACCAAAATGCAACATTCTCCTTTCCCATCTCCAAAAAGACCCCGTTATTATCCACGTCACGGCCACAACACGCGAGTCTCAACTCCATATATAGCTCGCGAGTAAGTGATCAAATATTCAAAAACCGTGTTTATATTCACATTTATTAAAATAAAAGGATTGGAGTCCGAAAACAGAAAAAGCCTAGTACGACAGTTGTGCTCCTAAATCTCGCCCAAACTGCACCGCCCTCTCCTCTCTCACGCCGGCAAACGGTAACGGTCATCAAAAAATCTCTCCGGTCAATTCTTATTTCTCTGTTTAAGAAAATAAAAAAATTCTTAGAAGTTCTCTCGCACCCTCTACTCTCACTCACTAATTTATCTCCTTAATTCTCTCTGTAATCTCTCTCTCTCTCTTTATAACTAAACTGACAGGGTTTTAAACAGAAATTAGGGCTTTGAAGAAGAATGATATCTGAATTGAATTTTGAATTTATTTGGTTACGACAATGGTAGCCGCAGTGTCAACACCAATAATCCCCAAAAGGACATCAACAGCAAGAACAACGCAAAACCAAAACCCGACAAGACCTCCTTTATTACCATCTGACCCAGACAATGCTAACGCTCCTCGCCGTCCCAAATCCCGAGAAGTCAGTTCTCGCTACATGTCATCATCCTCTTCATCGGCATCGGCATCGGCGTCGGCATCCTCTACTTCAACATCAAAAAGGTGCGCATCACCGTTGATTTCTCGACGAACGGCCATGATGACTCCAACACCTTCTGCTGCTTCCACAATCAAACGGTCACAGTCAGTGGAGCGCAGGCGACCCGCTACACCGAGAGCTAACTCTCTTGATTTGAGGATGGGAAATGTCAATTGTGGTGGCGGTGGCGGGAGCAATGGTGAGATGACGAATGCCCAGAGAATGTTGATTACTTCAACGAGAAGATTATCGGTGTCGTTTCAAGGAGAGTCGTTTTCGTTTCCAGTGAGTAAAGCGAAGCCAACTCCGTCTCCCATTAGTGTACGGAAAGGAACGCCGGAGAGGCGTAAAGCAACGACTCCAATACCGACCAGAGGAGCTGATCAGGTGGAGAATTCAAGACCTATGGAGCAGCAGCGGTGGCCAGGGAGATTAAGGCAACAGAATTCCATGACTAGAAGCATGGATTGTACCGATGATGGAAAGAAATTAGCTGGATCTGGAATCAATTTGAATGTTGTTAGGGCATTGCAAAATTCAATGGTGGATAACAACAATAATAATATTAGGTCATCGATTGAAAACAGATTGAGTTCTGATTCTAGCACAATCAATTCCGCGAATCCTGTTGTGCATAGTGATCATCCTTTGGCTTCTGACACTGACAGTGTATCATCTGGTACTACTTCAGAGAGTAGTATTGGAAATGCTGCTGGTGTTAGAGGAAAAGGGGAGCCTGGAGCAGGTGAGTTAATAGCGCCAGCAAGGCTTTGGCAAGAGACTAATAATAGAATCAGGCGGCAACCAGAGCATGGGTCGCCAGGTTCTCGGAATACTGGATTGAAAGGACCTACACCAGCTAAACTTATTGCACCAAAGAAGTTTGGAAGTGATAGTCCATTATCTTCTCCAAAAGGAGTTGTTAATAGTAGGGGACAGTTGTCTCCTATTCGTGGTGGAGCGTTACGGCCTGCGTCCCCAAGTAAGTTTGGGACATCATCAACTGCTGCATTGTCTCCTATGAGGAGAATGAGTCCGTCGAGAGTGAGGAATGTCGTGGGAGGTGTTGTCAGTAGTAATTTGAGTAATGTGAGTAGTACTCCTTCAATTTTGAGCTTTGCTGCTGATATTAGAAGAGGGAAGATTGGGGAAAATCGGATTGTGGAGGTGCATTTGTTAAGGATTTTGCATAATCGGTTGTTGCAATGGCGTTTTGTCAATGCCAGAGCTGATTCTGCTATGTCAGCCCAGAGGTTGAATGCGGAGGTATGATCACTGTTTTGTGTGATTTAGTATCTATTTTCTTCACTGTATGTTTTTTGTTTGGCAACTCTACTATCAGTTGATGAATGGCATAGAGTGTTTTATTGGATCGGAAACCATAATAATATATTTGCTGCTTGTAGGTTAAAAACAAAATTGTGCCATGATGATATGTATATTGGTAGATGATATATGATTGGTGGAGATGGGGAGGTGGAGGAGGCAATTGAAAATCCCTTTTAACATGCTCCTGTTTTCATAGTTTCTGACATGGTTAAATGAAACTTACTGCCTCAAAAGCCTAACAAACTAAATTACAAAAGGAGGCTGAGCCATTGGAGATGAAGCGATCTCATTTGGTGCTTTGCCCTCTTATTTTGGTGTTGGAGAATGTTTTTGTTAAAAATGGTATTTTGGCATTAAATTGCCTTCTTGGTATAACTGTCCATCGAGTCTAGTTTTGAGTTTCATGTATTTGAGGGTAAAGATGATCTGTTAATATGGTAATAAACAGCATAGGGGATAAGTGGTATAAAAAATCTAATTGTTAAATCTCTAGGATTTGGTTTTTTAATGTTTTGTGGAGGATGCTATTCTAAGATGAATATAAATTTCTAGAATATTGCTTTTCATCCGCCAGCTTAGATTCATAAAAATATCAACTTATTGAGTGGCAATTTTTATATAGGGGTTAGCAATTCTTAATTATGGGGCTGAGGACTGTTATGAACAGAGAATTTGTATTTTTAATGAAACCATAATGACAAGATGTAGATTCTCTTGGCTTAGATGAGACATAGAAAAGACTGCTTTTTAGTTTTTACCCTTGTACCTAATATGATGGGCAGCTGATTCTGTAGTTAGCTTATTTTGATCATTTTGACAGTTCATGGGTGCCAGTTTTTCAAAATTTCTTCTTGAAGCTTTGATTAAAAATGGTTGTTCAGACGCCTTCCCCCTGAATTTTAGTTCCCTTTTAAAATTATTTTGACCAAGTGAATTCTGTCACGTGTAACTCACAATTATATTATTCATGTTGAGCTATTAAGTGTTTTTGCTTGAGCCTGATTGATTGTAATAGCTGGTCCACATGAGAGAAGATAAATATGTTGTAGATGTGTCCATCTATTACTTCTAGCATTTAGTAAGATTATAGCCAAAGTCAAGCTATTTAAGGATATGTAAACAATAGTAATAATACCTGGCATTGTCCACTTTTGGGTGATGTGATGATGTATATATTGATTTTTGTTATGCTGACTACTCATTTTGATTTTGGGTGACTCATTTATTATGCAATTTACGTTAACCTGTGAAATTATCTAGAAGAATTTTCTCGTCTAAATTTTTTTTCTGTACCAGAAAAGCCTGTATACTGCACGTGTAACAACATCAAAACTGTGTGAATCTGTTAGAGCAAAAAGAATAGAGTTACAATGGCTAAGGCAAAATTTGAAGCTGATTTCCATCCTCAAGGGGCAAGTAAGATACAACTTCACTTCCCATCCCCATCATACATACAAGCACCATGTTTTTCTATGTCGCTGCGTATTCATGTCAGTATTTTATGCAAATTTTACTGGTGTACTTTTGAATTTCTCATCTAGTGTTTCAAATAAATTTAATTTTAAGACATGGCATTTACCATTTTAAGCTGATGTTTAAATCCTTGTGGTTAAAGTTGTTTAAATCGTCTCTGTTTATCACACACACACACAAACACAATTATTCAGATAAACTGACTCTCAATCGGCTGATTTCTTGAATGGATTGTCAAAGATTTTCAAACCATATAGCATAATTTCGGCTATGTGATGCCTTGAATGCTATTCAAGTTCTGTGTAATTAAAGAACAATGGCCAAATCAATTGTTTAGTTTAATGAAGATTTATGCATGATGGGAGCTTGAAGGTAGTTTATTTGCAGTGATTTCTCTTTTGGTATTGTGTTTTAAACTAATTATGCATGATTGCTGCAGATGCTATATTTAGAAGAACTGGCATTGATTGACCAGGATTACTCCTGTTCTTTATCAGGGGCCATTGAAGCTTTGCAGGCTAGCACAGTCCGTTTGCCTGTTGTTGGTGGGGCAAGGGTATGTGCCATTTTCTCTTTCTTGATTTTGATTTTGGGTACGTTGGTTTCAATTGGGTTTCTGATAATTGTTTATTTGATTTGTAATCCTACAGGCAGATGTCCAAAATCTGAAGGATGCTATCTGTTCAGCGGTTGATGTGATGCAGGCAATGGCATCCTCAATTTGCTTATTGTTATCGAAGGTCATTATTTTCTTCTTCCCACTCCTTTCTCTCTCTCTCCTTTTCTTTTTCTAATCCTTTGCACTTTACAACATTTGCTTCATACTTGCGTTCACTCTTTTCTCTATTCCATATTTTATTCAGTATCAATGAGAGAGCATTTTGCATGTTAATGTATCTATCTCGTTCTGTTTGCCACCTAAACTAAAAGAGTTATCATTTGACTTGGATAAAAATTTGTTAATGTGTGATGATAAGTGATGCTCCGGAGATGCTACTTACTGCATTACACAGTATTGTTGGTACCAACACATAGTAGACATACAGTTCATTGCCATTTTCAATGAATAATTGAATATTGTTCTCCAAGTTTTGGGAAAATTGTCTTTTTTCGCAGCCCAACCTTATAAAGATATTTAGATCATTTTGTCAAATATTTGTTGTCTTAATCAAGAAGGACCTTCTGAATGTGGGTTTATGGTTTTGTATTTAATGAAGTTGTAACATATGGCATGATGTGCTTTTGCGCTTTAAATCTCATATATGTTCAGCTTATGTTGCCCCCAAATTTGGCTTATCCCTTGAGTTCAAGCCGTTTTTCTTTTAAGTTTTAGATAGTCTAGTGTTTGTCTTCAAAATGTGAACCTAAAGGTCTAAAGTTTGACCTCGAGATAGTTGGATGGGATTTATAAGATGGAGGGCTGCTAGTGGCGGCTACTGCACATTGTGTTGCTTGCGCAATGATGGCCTTCTGGTGAATTCCCCTCCAAAACCCTAAACCCACAAAAAGAAGTTCCAATTTTTTTATGGAATTGCCATTAGAATACCACTGAGAGCCTAATACTGGAAAGGCTCTACTACCTTCTTTTGCCCAAGACTCACAAATATGAAAGATAAACACTTTGTTTTGACAGCTTTTTATTGTTTTCTTACAACTAAGTGTTGGCTGAATCATGAACTGCATGTTACAAATTGAATAGTGCTTCCAAAGATGGCTTCAAGCTTTGTCATATCTGTTGGTTTTGTGGGTTGATGCAGTAATTGTCAACGTGTTAACAGTTTTTGTGTCCTTGCTTTAACGTTGGTAGGTTGGGGAAGTAAATTCTCTGGTGGCAGAACTTGAAAAGTTAAGTTGGAAGGAGTGTAATTGGCTTTCTCAGTGCAAGGATCTATTGTCAACCATTGCAGCCTTGCAGGTAATGTTGTGTTTGGTTTTACTTTTACAAAGAATGAAACGGGTAAATTAAAATTCATGTTCTGATCCTATCTCTCTTAGCATTCTCCCTTTAATGCTGTTGTTAGGTTTTTAACTAAAAGTGTTCATGTTGCCAGGTGCAAGAATATAGCCTGAGAACTCATATTTTACAACTAAAATGAGTGCCTTCCAGCCTGACAACAAAAGTGTACTATTCTCATATCACTTAATTCCTTCCTAAATGCTAACAACATCAAATCAAACTCCTTTATCCTCTGATTCAAGGAACTGAGAGGAACTAAGAAAATATTGAACGGATCAAGCATATGTAGCTATTTTGTACGCATGGATGACATGAAGCTGTCATTCTCAAAGTCAGATTTAGATTGTATAGAGGTACTTCTCTATAGGGCAGAGTACAACGTATGTAAATATATATAATGATGTTTTCATTCCTTTTCTTTTCTGAGTTTTCTCGTCCAATTTTCTCTGTGTTCTTTACTTGATGTTGTTCTTGTTTGCCACTGTTTTGTTTATTTGTGTATTTGTGACTTGTGAGATCTTTGCGTTTGTTCTCCCACGACGACTTGCTAGAGTTTATTTCTGTGTCCATCCATCTGATGTGCTTTTGCAACTTATATTCTCGTTACTTGATCGGATTTAGACCTAAATCAAAATCGAAACAAAGAATGTTGTAACAAAAAAGTTAAAAGAAATTTGATTATACAACACTATAAGAATTTACTTCGTATTGGGCCTATTGGCTGAAAATGGAGTTTTCATTGCTGTATTAGGCTGTTGCCGGACCCGCTTTAGAAGCCTCTTGCGGTTATTATCTTTTTATGTGAAGGGGCCTTTGTTCTCTGTCATGCTGTGCTACGAATTACCCTCTCTTATGGGATCGTTCACCTCACGCCTTCCCTCTTCCCTTCTCCTTTTTCTGGATTTGGCTAATTTACACCATCAATTACAACATATATTAAGTACAGAACTTAACTTCGCCATCAACAAGTGGATTGAAACTTTTACTGTAGATACTGGCATTTGCAAGAGAAATGTTCGCCTTTCCTTTTCGAAGGTCCATATTCATTGATCTTGACTCTTGGCAATAGTGAAGGATTTTTATTTAAAATCGTTTTGTTGCTACTGAGTACCAAATGACTAGCCTCGTGGATCATGGCCAAGGCCCTCATCCACCTTCCTATTCCCTAACTTTTGGTGTATTGCTTCTTTTTGGTTTGGTTTTTTTTTTTTTCCACTGCTTTATTTGGTCAGCTTCTAAAGAACTATTTGTGTATCAATGAAGAGGTACTTAATCGTAGAATTACACCACATATTTAAATAACATGAAAGGTTCAATTACTTCATGCATGCAGGCGGGCATTCGCATTGTTCCAGGCATCATCTGTTTAGCTATTGAATTACTTGAAAAGACCTTAGTAATACAACTAATAACTCCTCCTCACAGGAGGCAATCGCCTTTTATAATGTTGTTTGTCGAAATACAATAATGTTAAAGTAAGGAATTATGATGCGATCTCAATAAGATTCCTCAGAGGCTCTTTCGGCTTCACGTCACGCCGCTCCTTTTCCGTCAATTAATAAGCACACTTCTCTCTAGCAAGTACCACGCATTTAGCCTATTAACTGAACTTTTGCATCACCCAAGTCCCATTGCTAGAACGGAATGGTGAAGGAAGAACGCTAAAATGAGGATCTAATGAAGATGAGCTGGGATCCACAGCATATGCTATGAGACGCGGCGAGTCGAAAGGACGGGAATAATAATGACTTTTCTCTTTGAGTGATTGTGTGCTCTTTTCATATATGATGTGATAAAGCGTTTGTCTTTTTGTCAAAGATAAAAAAAATCGGTGTTAAAATGCCGTGGAACGCACTTCCAATGGAGGAGGACTTGGGGGAGGAAGCTGACGTGAACCGCACCATTTTTTGCTCCGCAAAATCTAAGTTGGGACCCATCTTTTTCATCCCCATTTTCAGTTCCATGCGAAGTACGTAATTCTTTTATGCTTCCTTGTCATCTACTAGCTGCTTGGCTAGTTTGAGACCATGGGTCAAAAATCATCTGACTTCATGTGAATTTCACGCTCCTTTTGTATGTACTTGGCATCTTGCCTAGCTACTGCCGAAAGTTTAATCAATAAGTAAAGAGAGAGATAATAAGCAAACATCCAAAAGTTGTATTAAGAAGGCTCAAGAATAATTAATAATAATAAAATACTTCACTAACTCGATTGCCATCAATGAACCTTATCAGCATCAAATCGTCCATGTAAAGAAAAACCCTATCAGCTAGCAGGGGATAAGTAGCTGATTTAGGCATATGATAGTTCGCATACCATTTATGTTTACATATATTTGGTAAAAACTGGGCACTCTATCTCTCTTCAAGAATTTAGGCGGCACCCAGTGGCAAAGGCATTTGGTATCAGATCGACAGTAACTTCATTTGTGGAGAACCACTATTTCACAAAGTTCAGGATGTTTTGAGTGACCCTTCATTTCATCCTCAATTCGATAGCGCATGTCAATGTCATAAATTAATAAAATGAACAATTGAACATACCCTATCTTATTCTAAAACAAATGTGGCTGCAATTGAGATCTGAACCAACATTGTCTTCCACCAGGTGTAAAATTTTCAAACTCTTGATTTGCGTTTCAACATTTTATACTCTACTTTCTGAATCAAATTAACATTATCCTTAAAAAAAAAAAAGAGAGATTGCAGATTCTAAGAACAACAACTACACCAATCACCGAACTTTTCATTTTAAAAACTGCCGTTCTTCTAGAAGGTCTATGGGTACTCTCACTCTTACGTGGAACCACGTCAGTCACGTGTCGAACCATATGTCTCAGCCACTTGGGTCTTGGCAGCAGCTTATCTCTATCTCTTAGATGCTCTCACCCTCCGCTTCTCCACATGTACGGACCGGACAAGCACCAACTTCCCTAACTCGCTCATTAACTAACATTCATGATGTTATTCATCATGAATAGAATTTCTGAATGATATCAAGAAACTATACCCAATACGAGATGCTTATTCCCAATTAATTTCGCAAACAATATCTAAAATCAATGATCAATTACACACCAAACATCAAATCAGAAACTAATTCGTATGAATAGTCAATAACCATCGTTATCACCACTAAAAAAAACCACCAATTTAAGTACTAAATTGATAACCAAAAAGAAAAACTAAAACAAAGCTGCAACGGAAAAATACGTCCATAGCTAGCCAAAAACGCACCGGATTAAAATTCCGGCATCATATTTATAGAGACAAAAAAAGGGTTACAACAAAACCTATACTCTGCGTCTTCTTTTTTATTTATTCAAACAAACAGATTCAAAAGTTTTTTCTTATCACCACCACTGCTTTCAAAGCTTGTTGTCTCCGACTCTCCTCCTGTATAAAACGACGCCACATCTCTTCCTCTCTTATCTCTTCCACCTCTTGCTCTAGTGAGACGCAGATTGACATGATCAGACACCACTTGATTACTATCCTCCTTAGCAAACGGTTTTGATTGACTCCACGTCAAGTCATGCACTGCGTACGCAGCCGCAGAGAAACTATCAGATGATTCATCACAATTCGGCGCTAAGACTCCGGTAAGAATTCCAGTTAACGGCCGTAACGTTCCGCCGGAAAGCACTGTCTCAACAGCCGCCTGACACACATGCCAATTACCGCTCCACAATAGCCCCACCGCTCCGTTCACGGGATTCACTGTTCTCCCGCATGCCTCGAATAACAGCGATTGAAACAAAGCTATACTTCAAAACAAACAAAAAAAGGCAAAATTAATTTGTACTCTTCTACATGTGTGTGTGTGTGTATAGTTTGGTGTGTATGTTATACAGACCAGGGCGCTGGGATTCGGGTACGGCGGAGATGAGAGACATGAGATCGCTGCGGCCAAAAAATTTGGCGAGAAACAAAGTAGCGTTACCTTGGGCTTCAGGGGTGGTGATCCAATGCAGACACGACCTCAATACGCATGTCTCGCTGCACCCCTTCCGCAGCACTCGGCAACCGTTGCAGCTCATATCCACCGTCTGATAAAATTATTAACTGATCTTGATGCTTTTCGTGATGATCAAATAAATTTGTGTATTTTTCTTGGTGACAAAGCAAGAGAGAATTAATTGCAAGTGAGGGGAAAGGAGTGCCCTTTGGGGAGCGGTGAAGGTGTATAAGAGAAGGAAAAAAGTGGGGTGTGGTTAGGGGTTGAAGTTAAAAAGTAACTGTGGTTAGGTTAGAGATTTTGTGGATTGAACGGTGGAGATTTTTTAGTGTTTTGTGGGGTCGAAGAGGGGTTTGTGGTTGTCGAGGCGAATATCTTCCAAACTCTGGGCACGAGCGGCTCCGTGTTTTCGCGTCTCTTGTTCTACAAATCAAGGTAATCCATTGGATTTTATTTTTTGAGTGTTTTGAGCCGTCAGATTGCAGTGGGTCCAGTGATTTTTTTTGATCTTTTAGTTGCTTTTTGAAAGTACGGGTAAGAAGTTAAAGTCTAGTCGCCCCAAAAATGGAAGTGGGATATAGATACAGCTAGGAATTGATGTCCTCTTGTGCATACTGCTTAATCCTTGGGTTAGAGGCTTAGTTTAAGAGTAATAGTAAGTGATTGTGCTTCTTATATTACAATTTAATATTTGAATTTTAGAAGAGATTATAAGAAAATCATTTTCTTTTAAATATATCAGTTAAAGTAATTTCAATGTGTTTTATCAATAATATCAATAATTTCAATGCGTAAAAACTAGATGGAAAATACCTAATTCTTAAGTTTTTTTTTTTTTTACTCAACAATAAAAATATCTTCGGATTCATTTCTATATCAACCAGGACTAAACCTATTCGTCAACTATCTTAAGTTATATTTTTCACATTGACCTGGTATATTTAGAAATTTTTTAAAATTCCTTTAGGTTCGTGTCTAATGTTTGAATCCAGAAATTTTTTTTTAAAAAAAAAAAGAAAGAAAATAAACTTTCTTAACCATGAGGACAGCCCTCTTGAGATTACCTAACTGTTAAGATTAAAATAAAAATACCAAAGTTAATTATAACTTGGTCTTTGTAGTTTAGCAAAGCTAATTAATTAGTCCTCGTGAATCCTTATGTTTTTAAATATTTTATAACTTGATTCTTTTGGTTCATTTCATTTTACTTTTCAATGTCTTCTTTTTTTTTTAAAGAAATATAAAAGAGGGGAAAAAAGAAGTAGAAGAAATTAAAAGATTGACAAAAAATAAAATCCTGCTAAATTAAGCACGGTAAATACTGTTTAAGGAACCGTTTAATATTTTTTGATATTATGTGAATTAATTAATCTATTTTGGTAGACCAAAGGGACTTAGTTATAATTAACCCAAAAATACTACTATTACCTGGGTAATTAATAAGATATCTATTTTTGATGTGAATTTTGAAAAATATTTAATATGTTTAAGGCGATAACAAAAATTATAATATAATTATTAAAAAAGGTTTTATAAAAATATTCTGGTCTACAAGAATAAGATAATTCTGCAAATAAAAAAAATAAAAAAGTAAGTTGTCAGTTTTTAATGTAAATTTTCATTTTAATAACTCCCCCTTCGCCATTGATCCATACAAATCCCATCGGCCACAAAAACTCCATCTAGACCACCATAATCAGACCCTCAATTTTCTGGGCTAAGAAAGCTCTGGCTTTGAAGAAGAATTGGTCAGATTCAAAGATACCTTATATCGTGAGAAATATACGTAAAAAACTCTTTTTGTTTGACAGCGAGGAATAAAATGGTAAAAATAAGAATAAAAATTTTAGTTCTACATGAAATAAAATTTATAAATAGTTTTATTCTTTATGCAAAAATTTTAAAAACTCTGTAATTTTTTTTTATATATAAAAATAGTAATATATTATTTGTATTTATTATGTTTCAACTGTTTTTATTATCATCTCTATCACTAATACTATTATAGTGATGGCAAAAAAAATTATTATTATTATTATTTTGTTGTCATTCCTCCACCAACACCATCCTTCTTCCACTTCCCACTTTATGCAATAGTGACATTGTTTTATCAAAAATATATTATTATTACCATCACTATTATCACTACAATCATGTTTATTATTTTTATTACTATCACAATTGATGAATTTTTTTAATCATCGAGTCTTATTTATCTTTAAAATCAGATATTTTAAATTTTAAATTTATATTAATATTTTAAAAACAATATGAAAATAAAAATATCATTCAAATTTTTTTATTTTCATTTCAATTTTTACATTTTCATTATCGCCTTAATTCCGAACTTTTGAATTCCACCTACCATTGTTTTAAAAAATATAGACACCTACCATTGTTTTTAAAAAGACAGACAATCCACCAACCATATTAGAGTTCGATTGTGGCATCCCTTAAACAATGGATAATGGTGGTCGATCCAAAAAAAAAAAAGTAAGAGTTTGGAAATCTCATTTGAATTCCCAAATTCAATTGAATTGGCATGACTCACTAACATCTTAAACATTTAGGCATTTACAAGCTCAAGTGACCACAGAAAAGGAAGGCTAAGATCTTTTGAATTTGGAAAACCACAAGGATTTTATTTATTTATTTATTTCTTTAGCACTTTGAAGATGACACGATCTCGGATAAAAAGATTGAGTTGAAATGAGTAAAACACATGCTCAATCCTATACGAGAAATTCTAACGATACTTATTTGGTACTTATTTCATAAAAAATAAATAAATAAACCCAAAAAAAAAGAGAATTAAAAAAATAATTGAATTTTGCTCAAAATATTCTTATTATTTTTGGATTGAATGTAATTTTATTTTATTATATATATATATATATATATTCAGATCAATTTTTACACTTGGTAAAGACTAAATGTATTATTTTTTGGACTAAATTAGTGTGAGAGTGTGCTTAGCTTTTGATATACGAATAGGTAATAGAGCATTTTCGAATTAGTTTTTACATTAATTGAGACAAAATTTATTATATCCTAAACTAAGTCTGATGTCATAACATATTTAACTTTTGATCAATAATTGAACTCTTTTTTAGACCAAGTGAACTCAATTTTTGTACCATTAAAAAATAATTATAATTAATCATTCATGAATGATAAGAATTGAATTTTCGCCTTAATCAAATCAAGATAATTTTCTTATCCTTAAATCACATATTTAATAGCGCAATAACATGAATGTTGTTTTGCATAACTTTTTTTTTTCATTATTTTTTCGGCGCTAATTAGGCTAATATGAGCTCGTGCGGGACCAACAAACCTGGCCAGGCATAGGAGGTAAGATAAATACAAGATTTTCAACGCAAAGGAGAAAAACTTAATTTGTTTTAGTGGGTTCTGGGAATATATCAATAGCGAATTGGACAGGCTACTGCCATAGAAAAGGACACGGTTCGGTTGAGGATTTGAGTTGCGAGTTGAAATTCTATTCCCACAATTATTTTTTCTCTGTAGCGAGCACCAGCTTCTATCATACTAGCACCATGTTTTTGGGATTAATGCTTGACCTATCATCCATGGTCCTAGCTTCACTTGATGGGTCATTGACGTCAAGAAACAATCCATTAAATCACCGCACAAACTAGCGACGCCTTTGATATGGGTGTCCCGGGAAGTTAATTATAATTGATTTCCATTACTTTAGTGAAACTAATTAGTTAATTTCTATGGTTTTGAAAATTACATATTTAATTCTTTTTTTAAAAAAAACTCATTTATAATTTAATCTTTTGTGTCCAATTTAGATCGATTTTTTATTTTAAGAACTAAAAAAAAATGAAACAGAAAATAGATAGGATATGAATATTAATGAGGACAAAACACCATTTGTTAGAAATAAAACACTACTAAATTAATCACGATCAACACTAACACTAATCAAATGAGTATTTTATTATTTTTATATCATGAGGATTTATTTATTTATTTTAATAACTACAAGGGCTAATTTATAATTAACTCTTGTACTATCTAACCATACCTGCAACCCTCTAATAAGTCCCTAGTTATATAAAATTCTTGACCAAGCCCTGAAAGAATTCTTTAACTCAACTGGGCCTTTACGTTCTTGGAAAACTATCAAGTCAGTACTACTTTTTTTTATTTAATGACAAAAATTGTCTTCAATTTGACAATTTCAGATTTTTATTATCAATTTGAGTTAATTGAATCTCAAACTATTTTTTTGACACATGTGATCCTTATTCGTTATCTTTAACGATCAAATGGCTGATCGTCAAAGGTCCGACGATCAACCATTTGATCATTAATATTTTTTTTTTAAAGAAAAAATAGTTAATTTAGTCAAAATATGATTTACATAAAATTACATAGTGGTTATTTATTAGATTTTAAAATTAATAGCACTCATCAAAAAATTTAAAAGTATATATAATCAAATAAAAAATAAAAGTACATACTCTAAATCATTAATAAAAAAAATCCATATTCATGTAATGGACATGTCAATATGCTCGACGTGTCAATTTAATAATTACATCAACATGAATTTAACATAAATACTTTATTAGAAAAAAAGTTTAAAATTTTATATTAACGACAATTTAATTAATACTAGATTTAAATATTTTATTTTATTTCTAATCTAGTCAATTTAATGGTTATTTTAGCATAAATTTAATAGAAATATTTGATTAAAAAAACTTTAAAAATCATATTAATGATAATCTAGTTAATATTATATTTAAATATTTTATTTATTCACAGTCTAATTAATTTAGTGGTCATGTCAACATGAATTTAATAGAAACATTTGATTAGAAAAAATTGTATTTTTACTTTTTCTATTTGATTATTTGTACTTGTTTTTTTTTAATTTTTTTTATGAGTGTTATTGATTTTAAAATCTAACAAATAGCTATTATGTAATTTTATGTAAATCATATTCTGATTAAATTAACTAAACAAAATATAGAATATTAACAATCAATAATTTGATCATTAAAGATAACAAGTAAAAATAGCTATTATGTAATTTTATGTAAATCATAATCTGATTAAATTAACTAAACAAAATATATAATATTAACAATCAATAATTTGATCATTAAAGATAACAAGTAAAGATCATAATTGTCAAAAAGATAATAATTTAGAGCTTAATTAATTTAAATGAATAATAAAAACCTAAGATTGTCGGATCGTAATGGTTTAAGGCAACAAGACCTATTCAAATTGTACATCTTCATAAAAAATGGCGTTGTTTCGTAGGGAATTTGACTTTTTTTCCTGCTAGAATTTGTGAACGACTTACATTATGTATAGCGAGAAGGATAACATCTTTGTTAACTCAAAAACTTCAAAAAATAAATCCAATGAATTTGAAGAAAGAAATAAAAAAATCTGAAATTTTGATCGTTCACTAACAACCATAATTCAACAAAACTAATATAAAAGGTATGTCTAAAGGCTAAATAAGAAATAAATCAAATTTCAAATCTAAAAATATTCAAAACATAATTAAAAATAAAGAAAATGCATAAATTAAAAAGCTGAAACCTAAAAATAGTTGCAATCCATGAATCATTTGAGAAGTCAAATCAATAAATAGATCCGAAAGCAGCCCTTTAGATATTTAGAAGAAAAAAAGAAATGAAATGAAGGAATTTTTTTTTTTACTTTATTATTCTTATATAATCAGAGTTGGGTCATGTTTAACTGGATTGTTTTTCTTTGAAGATATTATAAGAAAATTGAGTCAATTTTTTGTTTCTCTTGCTTTACTCCCAAATTGAGCAATATATATATATATATTAACAATTAAAAAGAAAATTTAAAGATTTAAGAAGCGTTTGTTTTGCACAAAATATTTTACAAATAAAAATAATTTATATGTAAATACTTTACATATAATGAATTCTATAATATTTAATAAAATGATATGAAAATTATGATGATGAGATGGTGGTGGTATATGGTATAACGGAGATGAGGAGTGCAGGTGAGGGCAGTGGTAGTGAGAGTAAAAAGGGTGTTTTGGAGTACTGGCAGTGGTGGAGTAGTTGTTGTGGCGGGATGGTGATGGTGGCGGTGATAATTGAGGATGCGGCGGCGACGGTGATGGCGGAGAAAGAGGTAGGTGGTGGTGCGGCGACACTGGAAGTGGGTAATGGTGGTGGTGACAGCAAACTCAGGGGTAAAGGTGATGGTGATCATAATTAAAACAATTGGATGATATTATAAATTAATTATTATGTTTTGACTTTTATGTAGAATGTGTTGAGTTAAAATATTTTTCTAACAAAAGCAAACTAGATTTTTGGATTAACCATATAATATTTTATGTTGATTAATTTTTTTATATATAAAATATTTTATACAAAACAAACTCTTCCTTAATTATACCATCCAAATAAAACAAACTAACTTAATTTTCTTTCTGTTACTCTCGTTTCCATTTCCTTTCCTCAAAACAGAGACACTGCTAGTAAATTGAAGTTGCTGCATATTCACACCAATTTGGCTTCCTTTGCATAGCCACAAATCTCTCTTATTTAAAGACAGGAAAAATGAGTCTTTTTATCCCAGATAGCGTCTACACTGTCTTGACTTCTTGTGTCTAAACTTCAGTTTCAGCTCGTAGCACTACTGCAGTCCTCGATTTTGTCTATTTTTTGGATGCATACCATGAGATACAAGAGGAATCGAGCTAGGTCTCTACCCACAGCAACAACTTCTGATTTGGAGCTTTCCTTGCCGTGTCATTGCCTTTTGCTTGAGCGGGCCATCTTGTTTTGTTGGTAGGAAAACGGTGGATCAGTTATTGAGGATGTTTGATTGGATAATTTAGCAAGGTAGGAAAAATAGAATTAATACTCCATATTAATACTAAGAGCAGGCTAGAGAAACTGGGGGTGGCATTATTGGGCTACTAGGCAAAATCAGAAAATTAGTTAGATGTTTGGTGCCATTAGCAAGATAACAAAGATTGTTTAAGAGGCATCAGATCTCTTCGACAGTTGCTACTGGTTCTGATTGAGATTTGCCATATACGTCAATTATTAGTACAAGCTTGATTTCAGAATAATCATTAATACATGATTCAGACTTAATATCTATGTACGTAAGTTATCCGCGAAAAGGAAAAGAAACTATATACTGAAAGTTTTCTATATGAGCTCAACTGCTTTGGTTAAGTTTCAATTGAATTCACAAGCTTCAGTAGTCTGGACATTATTATGCAACAATTTGTACAGTATGCAAAATAGAATGGAGATGTCAGCCACTACGAAGTGAATTTTTCATTTAAAATTTCATGAATTCGTAATTTTGTTCATTTTGGCATTATATATTTCTGGACTCTGTTTCTCTGGGAACAAACCCAGATGAAAAGGGCTTTTATTAGCTCTTGTTCCGAATGGAAACTGACTTGTTGTGTATCCAATTTAGGCCGTGTAATTATGATCCTATTTAAGACAAGCAGAACAGGTTCGATATTTATCCTTGAAAAGTAAAGCAGTAATAAATTTATCTCAGTTTGCATGTATTGTGGTTGCTGGTAAACGATTTCTGTCAAACCTGGGGACAACTCTCATCTCCAAGAAGAGAATTATACTCGTTCATCTATGGTTAGAGAGAAAACATTAAAACCAACCAAAAAAAAAAAAACATCGTTATCAATAGTTCGATGTCTGCTAGTTTATACTAATTTTTTTTGCCAACATTACGCCGTGGATTGAATAGAACACATGAAATTATTTGAAAAAATTATTTAATTTAATTTAATAATCTGTGTTATAATGTAAATTCTAAAAATATATGAAATCAAAAATTAAAAAAAAATCAGTTTTATAATATGTTAATCAAATTTTTATATTTAATTATTCCTTTTTCATGTTTTTCATAATTTTTCTACTTGAAAAATAATTAATTCTTCTTTATCTACATATTTTTAAACAAAAAGTGAAATCAATAAAAAAAAATATGAAAAAAACTTAGTATTTCATAAAATTGTTTCGAAAAAATAAAATAACAACTAATGTAAAAACTAACGTATAAATAAATAAATATTTTTGATGTTTATTTAATATTTATGAGAATATTAGTTTTTAGAAATATGCACATTTGGTTTTTTTATATATTTATTCACAAAAAAATCAATAATATTAAAATAAAAAACTATATTTGAATCATTGAGCAACTATACAAAAAACATAATTTCATATATTTAATTTGAAAAACAATTGATTAAAAATATCTAAAAATAAATAGTAAATGCTTAATATTCTGATAGTTGAATAGTTGATTTTTATATAAAAAAATGATTCAATTTTTTTTAATATATATTATAAATATACCGAGTGGGTTTAGAATATGTAATGTAAAACAAACAACTTTTTTAAAAAAATTACTTGTAAAGAATATATTGAATAAATTTGAAATTTAAAAATTAAAATTAAAATTATTGAAAAATTGATTTTGTTAAACTTTGATTATATATATATATATATATATATATATATATCAACCATATAAAACATGCGAATTCATCTTCTTCTTTTCTTCTTAAATAATTTTTTATTTCTAAGAAATAAATGGCCAGTCTCTCTACACAGGCCTCACACCTATAGCAATCACCTTTTCTTTTTTGCATTTGAATTTCAATTATTTTGAAAATTATTTTTTGCTAAAAAATCAAGATAAAGTATCTTAAACACATTTTTATTATATATATATATATCATACTTCTTTAATTAAAAAATTATAAGAATAAATTATCTAAATTTATTTATTTTTAAATACTCATGTTCTAAATTTTACTCCAAAATTCAAAAATTTGGGATCAAGCTGCAATGCTTGAAAAACATTGCATAAAAGAGTTTTTTTCCAAGGGTAATGAATAGTGAATAAACAGTGATGAATAGTATTTTGTGAGACATCATATAAAATGCCATAAAAAAGTGCCAATATTAACGAAAAGGCCATTGTAAGATAGCATATAAAATGCCCCCCAAAAGTTCTAAAATTTATGAAAACACCACTGCTTAAGCTACTACAATGATTGCATACAATGTTTCTTAGTTTTGTCTTAGACGTTTTTGTTTTTGTTTTTTAAATAATCATGTTCTACATTTTAGTCCAAAATTCAAAAATTAGGTATTAAAATCCAATATTTACAAAACATGGCACATAAAAATGTTTTTTGATGGGGGTAATGAATAGTAAAATGAATAGTATTTTGCAAGACATCAAATAAAATGCCACATAAGCACCAAAATTAGCAAAAAATACCACTGTAAGACAGTCTATAAAATGCCGTCAAGAATTCTAAAATTCACAAAAAATGCAATTGGTTAAGCTACAACAATGATTACGTGCAGTGTTTCTTAGTTTTGGTTTAGATGTTTTTATTTTGAAAAGAAAAAATAATCTTATTCTGAATTTTATTTCAAAATTCAAAAAATAAGAATCAACGTACAATATTTTAAAACCATTGTACGTAAAAGAGGTTTTTTTATATGGAGTAATGAATTGTAAATGCACGATAGTGAACAGTATTTTACGAGGCATCATATAAAATGCCACAAAAAAGAAACAGTTTATAAAATACCCCTAAAAAGTTCTGAAATTTATGAAAATGTTATTACTCAAGCTACAACAATGATTGCGTACAGTGTTTGTTAGTTTTGTTTTAGATGTTTTTGTTTTTTTTTTTTAATAATAATGTTCTAAAATATTTACAAAACATTGCATATAAAAGAGGTTTGTTTTTTTTTTTTTGTAATAAATAGTGAGTGCATATCAGTAAATATAGTTTGTGAGGCATTATATAAAATGCCGCAAAAAAAACCCAAAATTAACGAAAATGCTATTTTAATGCAGTGCATAAAATACCCTCAAAAAGCTCTGAACTTCTGGAAAATGCAACTGCTCAAGCTACAGCCATGATTGGGTACAGTGTTTCTTAGTTTTGTTTTAGATGTTTTTCAAATCGATAGGGCTTCGCAGAACAACAAACCCAGTTCCCTAGTTTCTCTCTCCTGCTTCTGGTGGTCTCAAAAGGAGGTTACATTTGGCAACAAAAGACAAGAAGAGAAGAAAAGAAACCAAATTGCCCATTCGGCTTCTTGTGTGGGCTTGGGCATAGAAGTGTAACAACCACGTGTTATTTTCCATCCAATGTGGGCAACAGAAAATGCAAATGGAAGGGCAGTTGCCAATAAAGAGCACCGTTTGTGGTACATTGAAAGTCAAACGCAAGTTTTTAAAATTTTCCCAGTTGCTGTTTTATTTTAGGAATTGGGTTTTGCAATGAACCAAGCCCTGTTTCAAGTTTTAGATTAAATAGTTTTTGCTGTAAAATTTAGACTCTTAAAGACTCCCGTTCGTACAAAAGCTGCTGTTAATTCAGGCTTCCAGTCTCTTTGTAGTAACTGGGGACTAGTTTAATTGTTTTAAGTTATTTTCTTCTGATTTGTTACAATAAGAACAAGAAATTCACCATTTTCTCAACTGATATTTAACATTTGCTTACGGAAAAATCAAGTTGCGGTAAATAAAGCTTTTCCATGCAAGTTGCAATAAGGGAACTAGTTGGTTGCAAGTCCAATGTGATGGATCGAATAAAATATACAAAATTATTTGAAAAAATAATTTTATTTTGACAATCTGTACTATATTATAGTTTTTTTAAAATATATTGATTTAACGATAAAAAAATATAATTTTATAATTTATTCTTTTTTATTTTTTATAAATTTTGTAGTTAAAAAACATAATTTGTTAATTTTTATTTATTAATTTTTAAATAAAAATTTGTAATAATCTAAATAGAATATTTAATTCAAAATTTTAAAAAATATTTTAATATTTTTTATAAGATTTTATTGAAAAACTAAAGTAACAATTAATATAAAAACTTATATAAAATTTGACAAGTAAATATTTTTTTCATGCTTATTTAACTCCGATGAGAAGATTATTTAAAAACAATATGTATATTTGATTTATATATATATTTATTAACAAAATAATCAATAATGTTATTATAAAGAGTTGTATTTGAATCATTGGATAGTTCTTCTAAAACATTGTTTTAATTATTTTATTTCAAATAATTGATTTTAGAATGTTAAAAAAATAATATCAAATTATTGGTATTATGTGTGTCGATGTATAGTTAATTTATAACAAAACCAATTATTTCAGTTTATATATATATATATATCATTGACCATGTTCAGTGGGTTCATAGTGTGTAACATAAAAAAAAATTAAAAACAAATAAATTGCAAGAAATATAATAAATTTAATAGACTGAAATAAAAAAATGTATAAATTAATTTTGATAAATTTTAATTATATAAGGAAGAAGTAAATAAAACATGTGGATTCAATTTTTTTTTTAATATTTGGGACAAATTACCTAAGATATATTTTTACCTTTTTAATAATCTCATTTGAAAATCATAAGAATCCATCATATGAATTATATATATATTCTAAAATTTTATTCAAAAATCCATACATGGAGAAAAATAAATCATATTTATTAACAAATAAAATTATATAAAATTAACTTCATGAAAATTTTTATAAGAAACGATAAATAAAAAAATAATTTTAAACAATAAGAGTTATATAATCCAATATATGTTCATTAAAATAATTATATTTTAAAATTTTATTCAAAAATCCATACATAGATAAAAATAAGTCATATTTATTAATAAAAAATTATATAAAAATATAAAAATTAATTTTATGAGAATTTTCATAAGAAACAAAAAAATTAAAAAACTTAATTTTAAATAATAAGAGTAATATAATTCGATATATATATATATATATATATATATATATATCATCGAAAAATTCAATTTTTTCTTAGGTTCTTTTAATTATTTTATAGTTTAAAACCATCACAAATACGCTCTTTTTATTAAGATAAATAATATGGATGCAAGATCAAACATAAAAAGAAGTCAAAATTAGAGCCAATCGTGACTTTTTCTCTTCTCTCTCTGCATTTAGGGACCAAATTATCAAAATACCAAAATACCATTCAAAAATTACCAAAATACCATTCCATACTGCACAACTCTTAGTGAACTTTAAGTTAATAGTATTTTACGAATATGTAAATAGTGTAATAAATAGTAAATAGTTTAAATTTTTTAATGTTTAAAAAAAAATTGAAGCCAAACGAAGTCCACAGTTGACTTAATCTTCCTCTCTTTTGGGCGTGTGGTTATTTTAAATTTCTCCGCCTACCAGACTGGAACGCAGTCGCTTAAGTCTTATACTATTGTACAAGTTGAGGTAAGCATTTAGTTTTTCGGCTTGGTTTTTTATCTTAAACCGATTTTTTTTTTTTAATTTCTGATATTTTTAATTTTTCTTTTTCAAGTAGATCCTACTAAGTTTAGGCCTGAATAGTCTTTGCAAACATCCAAGTGGCCAAGTTACGACATAGGCTTGCTGAAGATAAACAATCAAATAAATATGCTACAACATTTCATCAAATATGCAGCAATATTTCATCAAAATGGTTTGATTTTGAGCTGACATTGTGACTTCGAGGCATGTTATTGAAATTGCCTGTAGGGCAACTCACCGGCTCATCCCATAAACTTGGTCTGAGTGTTCAGCCACGCCTTGCATGTAAAAGTCCTTGACGCTGCTTAAAATCCTGTCTTCAGGATATTTTTTCTTTTTTAGTGCGCTTTCTTTGTTAGGCTTCTTATTGGTAGCCATTTTTTTCTAAAGGATGAATGGAGTAATAAATATGTATGTTAACATTTTAACATTCATAATAAGAATACAATCCATTTAGCATCCATAATAAAAATATATGAAACATTAAAATCTAGAAAAATAATCATTTAACTTTCAATTCTTCGCATTTCGTATTATTCTAAGTTTGTAAAATTAATATATTAAGCAAATAAAACTTGAAAACTTACCAATGTCTTCCAAAATGTCAAAAAAAAAACCATCAATCGATTATATATCTACTATAGTTGGTTCCAATAAAAGTTTTGATAAATTTGAAAAATATAAGATATCTTTTTTAAAAATTTTAACATTATTAATTATAGAGGAAAAAGTAACAAATAAAAATATAGAGTTAATAAATTATCCACTTCAATTTTTTAACATCTTACAAATCTTTTTTAATATTAATTGATAAAAATGAATTTAGAAGTCAATCTTAATCAATATAAGTGATTGCACTATGTTGAGAGTTAAAAGAACTCCTAAAGAAATATCTTCCTCCATTGAAGCAACAGTGGATATTGTTCAACAAATAACAAGAAATCAACTTGACGAATGAGAAGAAATATCAGCATCCTACCTAAATTACTTATCGCATACCATATAAACAAGACAAACAAAATTGTAGTGACCGTTAAAAAAAAGGGTATAAAACTACTTTTAGTACTGGAAATTTATAATATTGTTCAACAATAACTTCGGGTTGCAAATTTCTTTTCCCTCTATTCTTGAAAAATAAAAAATTTGCAGCAGAAACAATAGTTTTCTCTAAGCTTTTAGTCTATCATATCTTTCAAACACAATTAAGTTCATCAACAAAATTAGATAGTGGAATTATGTACATAAACTATAAAAAAGAATTAACAATCAAAATAGTAAAGTTACAGCCCAATAATCAAAGCAACCAAAACATTCAAACTCGCATCAAATTTTGATTTTAATTCTTAACTTGGATGGTGGGTGTTTGCTACTTTGTTTTGCTGGAGGCTGCCTAGCTTGCTCCTAGCTTTGGCAGAGAGTTACCGACTGTGAGAGAGAGCGAGGAAGGCAAGGGGCGTGCGTCAATGAGAAAGAGACAAGGATCCACGCTAAGAGTTGGTGTGTTGAGGGCTGGGACTTTGTGAACGGGCGTAAGGGTGGGTAGGACTTGAGAGGCAGTTAGGAAAGGAAAATCAAAAGACGGAGAGACGATCCGGTCCGTGAGAGAAGGCCAGAGGTGGCAGGAGTGAATTGAAAGTCTAAAGGAGAGACCTAGAGACAGTTTTTTTTTTTTTTCTTTTTCTTATGTATATATTACAAAAAAAATTTGTCTTTCGATTTAATCAAATCTAAAAGTTCAAAAAACCAAACAGAATCTAAAAAATCAAAATACATCCTGTATGATTTTTGTTTTTTAAATTTAACTTTAAAAATCGAACCGGTTTTTCGGTTAAAATTAAATAATGCTCAACCCTGACAAGTACAGTCAATTGATGCAAAGAACCTGGCAAATACCAAGGTGCTTTCGAGCAGATATTTATTTTGCAGCTGAAAATTTGGTCGCACATTTTTAACTTCTTCTAAGGTAATACTGGATCGTTCGCAATATTTTATATTAAAAACAAAAATCTAGAAGGCGCCTAGTCGTCTACTTCTATGCATAATTTTTTGTTGACAATTTGACATGCAACTAAGAAGAAGTTGACAATTCTGTGAAACGTATATCAAGGAAACGACACAAAGCTCGCTCGTTAATCGCAAAATGTTGCTGTGTAAAATCGTTTCACGTTAGACTAATTAATGCTCTAGTTGAGAGTGGAATTCAAGACCTCCCGCTTACTAAACAAGTGCTCTAACCAACTAAGCTGAGCTGCTGGTTGGAGACTAGGAGTGGAATTGATTATATATCCATTAAATGTCGGTCATCAAGGCAATGCCACCCTTAAATCGATGTTATGAAAAAAATTGCTCCTATTCTTTTAATTTGATAATTTTAAGTTTTTATTATTAATTTGTATAATTTAAACTTTCAATTATCGTTTTTTTAAGCAAATATTATCCAAATCCTAATTTTTATGTTATCTATGTTATATGGAATGATTAAAGGACGTTATTTAAATATTCTACTATTAATTTAAAAAAAAATATTCAAAATTAAGGGGAGAGAAAAGGAGAGATACAATGAAATTGCTTTAGGATCATGAAATTTTGGATGGGGTAGATAGTGTCAAAGTGATTTAGGTCTTTAGTTAATTTTGCAACATCTTTTTAAAATTTTGACAATTATGAGTTTTGTGATAATATGACTGATTCGATGTTGAGGGTGTGATGATATTTGTGGCTATTTTGGTGTTGATGGCTTAGCTGGGAGAGGAATGGCGATGGAAGTTGCTTTAATGAGGGTTTAGACGAGGCGAGGGACAACGATGGAGATGATGGTTGTTGTCGGTGTTGAAGACAATGGGTCTGGTAGCGAAAGGTGCAAAGTGTTGCTGGTGTGTTTTTGAACCTAAGGGAGGTGGCTACGCAGTGGGTCTCAGACTGGAAAGGTGGCTAAAATGTGTTGAGTTATGGCTGGGTGGTTACGATGGTGGAGTTGTGGCTGTGGCGCGGCGGACGTGATGGTTGGGCTATGAAAGAGCCATGAAACTCACAATTTAATTCTAAACATTTTCTTTAAAAAAAAATTAATAAAAAAATATTTAAACGACATCATTTAAGTATCATGTATAACGATCAATTACAAATAAGAGATATTAGAATTTGAATGATATTTGCCAAAAAAAACTAATATTTTAAAGTTTAAATTAAACAAATTGATAATAAAATTCTAAAATTATAATTAAACGAGGATAATTTTTGCCGACCAACTAACAATTCATTAGTTAATTGAAAGTTGATGATGGCTGGAGCGGACCACAGTTTTATAGCTCACGCACTGGAATCCCAAAGCTACTAGCTGATCAATGAATAGAAACCACAGGAGCTGCTATCAAAAGTGGGACAGATCAAGTAAAGTTGATGGACACTGGGATTTAGAATACCAACATAATCAATTAAGTAGGTGGAAATACTTAAAACCCCCTTTGAAGCATGCTTTCTTAGTGGTGTCATATGGTCCTCTATAGTTGACTTCTTCACATTCTTATCTTCCGTTAAAACCTAATAGTTCAATTAATCTCGTGCCAAATGACTGAGATTCTCACTAAATTGCAGAACAGATGCTAGAATCCTTCCTTTTCGGTCTCTTGTTTTACTTATTCAACTCTCTGCCCCACACGTAAATGCTACTGTTGCGTTTTATAACCACTTTAATATCGACAATGAGCAAAGCATGTGTAAAGCAACTTGATCTGGCTTAGTCAGATCCACAAGCAACTTTCAATTGGAAGGTACTCGTGTTAGTCCATCCGAGACGCTTTCACATACTTTAGTAGAATAAGATGATCTCTTGTTTTTTTGACATTTCATAATTTCAATTTCTATGGATCGTGTTTATATACTGTATAACCTTTTACTTAGACGAAACTTTTTGGTGACTGCGAAACAAATGCAGCCCTACTTATTTTCATTTAGTTTGGAACAAATGGCAACCAATTGTAGATGTAGTTTTGCATTTTCTGTATATTATGATAAGAATCATGCTCGTATCAGGTAAATGTCTGTAAAGATATGATTAGATACGCCAGATCAGCACAGCAAGGACCAATAATGTTCGTGGTATAATTTACCATGTCATTTGTGGAGTTCTGCTTGATTTTCTCTGTCCTTGACTACCTTTTTTGTTTCTTATTACGCCAGTTAATTTATGTCGGTAAATATGGAAGTTTAACTGGGGTATACCCCCACCCTTCTTAAGGTGAGAACATAATCATCAGTGGACAATAAATTTCAGACGTGTATGAAAACCTGGGCAAAATAAGGTTACCAACCGTCACCGCGTTGTTCCAATAGCTCTTTTGACAGAATGGAATGGAGGAGAAGCAAGTCTCCTTCTAGGCGAAGAATTAACAAAAGACAATTGCTGAAGTAAATGCCAGTTGGCATCCTAATCACTTGCATTATGAAAACGTTTTACGAATTATACCAAATTCCTAGATCAAAACAACGTTCTTATCCACTCACATAACAGACATATGTTTGCTCTCATCACCACTACCGATCCCAGATCAAAAGCTTAGATCACCACCACGACGCCTATTAATTTATAGTTATAAATAATAATTACCACATGCGCGTGAAGCTCATGGATTGCGTTTGTAACCAGAATGCCAATATGTTCCAACAGTGAATACCGCCCGCCTCTGCTTTTTGTCTCGCATTTTCGCTGCTTCACGACTCATGCTCTAAGTGGCCTCAAATTGAATTTCCAACAAACGTCCCGCCACTACTTACCCCGCCGCTCACGCGGTTGTGCAACTCATCATGAGAAAGTTAAGCCGTACGCATACATCAAAGCTGATGCAAGCACATTAATTAGGGGTATTGGATGCCCAAAAAATAAAAACTTGAGGATTCGTATGTTCGGAGATAAAATAAATAAAAATAACCCAACAAATGGCCACTGGAAGAAAATAAATAAATTGACCGATAGAACAAAATCAGTTTTAAAAAAAATACTAATTAATTGAATTTCCCGTATTACAACAAAAGCAACTGAAATCTTCAACTGCTATGTACAAAAAAAATAATCAATCAAAACAACTGAAATGAATCCCTAAATTAATCTTCCTAACAAAGGTTCTAACTTCCCTACTGAGCTTGAGAGACTTCAATTTTGGGTGGCATCAAAACGCGAAGCTTTTTCACTGCCGGTAGAGGGCTCATAACTTCATCATCACCAGATACAAAGAAATCGGAAGAGAACTCTGGCAAGGCAGGAACATTAAGGTCAAAGTCATGGTGACTCTGGTTGTCGCTATGAATACGAGTGTTAGTAGATCCAGCACCTTCAGAAGTTGAAGTCACGCCACTCTTTTCGCCGCCTCCTGAGATGCCTTCATAGTGACACCTCTTGTGACCACCCAAGGCTTGTCCAGTGGAAAAAGTCTTGTGGCAGATGGAACACTCATGAACCCTACCGCTTCCGAAAGATACGGTTGTTGTTGTGGCAGAAGCAGTTGTACTCGAAGTGGTTTGGGCTTCGCCGCCTCCAGCAAGTTTTCTGTGACTTGCCTTGTGCCCGCCTAGGGCTTGGTATGAAGGAAACTCCTTGTTGCATACGGAACACTTGTAACTGATTTTTTGCTCTGATGATGTGGATACTATTGGAGGGGCGGGGGATTTTTGGTGGTCTGAGGTGGGAATTGAGATATTGGTGGAACCACGAGCTAGCATGACAAGACAGAGAGCGAGATATTCTTCTTCAGTAGGTTGGCGGTCGAGACGTGGACGCTTAGAGCGCTTGCGCTTTGCCCATGGCTCCCCCATGTAGCTGAGGCTTGAATCCTCGAATTCAAACGATGGAGTAGCTGTATTTGGAGAGTTCAAAGCTTCCAGTGCCATCTGACCTGTTCTCTTTGATCTAAAATATGAGAAAGTAGAAGAGTGAATTGCTAATTACTTGAAAAAAGAGAGAGAGAGAGAGCAGCTGCTGTTTAGCGTGAGAAGAAGAGCGAATTGTGCGAACTTTATGAGTGTAAGGAAGGCTGATATGTGTTATATAAGGGGGCAGTAGAAAGAGGAGAAGGAAGTTGCGTGACAAGTGGTTGAAAAGTAAGAGGAGGTGTGAACCTAATAATAAAATATTTGAAGAGTCAGGAATCCATTGCATAAATGGAGTGGAGCATGTTTGGTATTAGGAAAAGGGCCTTTTCTCGGTGGCCGATTTTGAGTTTCTTGGTGGCCAAGAGTGACTGTCTGACCTGACCCAAGTCGGTCAAAAAAAGTAATAGAATAGTAGTACTAGTACACACAGATAGGAGCGAATAAAAGTTGTGACGTAAGCTTTGGTGTGGGCCCATTTTAATGGAGTGAGTAGTGAAGTTAAGACTGGGACTGCTTCCAAGTCAAATGCAAAGAACCATTTACTTTTCCAAACAAACGCTGTCTTGTACCAACGTGCCTCTTTAAAGCAGCCGGCAGCCATGCGGAGACTTTTCTTTTCTAATTACGCGTCGACGTTCATGCATACTTTGATTTATAGTTGCATCAAAAGACCAACAAAACTAAACAGTCAATTGAATGGTAGTAAAATAGGAGGTAAATTGCACAGAGAATTTTCTTAGTTTGGTGAACAATCTTCACATGTGTCAACCAAGAAGTGATGGAGGTTTAGAGGGGAAGCTTAAACTTTCATTTAAGCTGAGGTCAACAAAAAACAAAAGTGTCAAATATATGCAAGTGAGCGATATCGTTCCACGACCTATAATAATTAGTCGAATTCGATTTTTTTTTTCCGAACGATGAGAATACGAGATGCTTCCCACTCAATTGTGCTTAGGGATTGCAGTATAGACATTTCCAATTTATCACGTCAACTAAAATAGTAACTCCAAGAATCAAGAATTATTTCAACCTGTACTTGCACAAGCTAAGCCAATCATCTTGTTATACACTTCACGCCTAGGATAGACGATTGAAGACACGTATTGCACCTCAAAATTTGGGTTTTTTCCTATGTAGTACGAGAATGGGCAACGGTTGGATACGCGAAACATCCAGAAAACTACACGTACCACCGAACGACAAGCTTTTGGGCCATTATAGCCACATTTTCAATTAATGGCTATCGTCCAATGAAAGCCCAGTACAGATGGGCACGTAATTAGATCAGCGCAACGCAGTGCTGTCCGATTAAATCCGCATTGACTTGAAATAATTTAGTTTTGCAGACAACCTTTCCATTTTATTTTTCTTTTATTTGGAGTGAGTTTTTAATTAATAGAAATATTTCATTCTTCGAGAAGAAAAATTGATTAACGGTATCTTCATCCACCAATTGAAGGAGATGTTGCTGGAATAAACATCGAGTGGTGAAGTTGCCAAGAACATTTGCCATGTTCATGACAAGAGGTTTTTTGAATGTCTTGCTTTCTTTAATTTAAACAGAGCCTGGTTATGAAACTTTGAGTGGCCTCTTTTTTTCAAAAAATTGATCACCAGATTCTCACGAAGTATCGAATTACAATAATATTATATAATAAAATTGTGAATCTAGATGGATGATTTACGAAGAAGTGGCTTTTTTTAAAGCTAATGTAACGGTGAAGTTTGATTACGGTTGAAGATCAAATTAGTTGCAACGCTTGTATAAACAAGTCTTTTTTATAGATTGAAGAATTCTTTAATAGCTAAATTAAAATTTGAAGGGGATGATTACATTGCATAAAAAGGTACTAATGCAATAAGATAAGTATTTAAAAATAATAAATAATTATTGTAGATTCAGAGATTTAAAATTTTGAACTTTAGCTTTTAGATTTGTTTATATAACCTATATAACCTTGTCAAATTGCATGAAAAAAATATATATATAATGATTAATTTTCATAATGCTAGAAGTTTTGGATATCCATTTGAAAAACAAATATTTTTTATATTAATATGATATGATTTAAAAGAGTGCGATCGTCCTATAAATGATATTATCGGATAGAATTAATCATGACTGTTTACTGTCATCTAATAGATGTACAACTTGTAATTTTCAATTAATAAAATGGAAATCAATTCAGTTTATTGTTTAAGATCAGATCGTTTGGTAAATTTCTAAAAATAACTTAGCGAGATTTTTTATTTTGCTTAAAATTCAAGTGGAGTCCTATCTTTTTAATTATTTATTTATATAAAATCGTAAACATCTGTCAAGAACTATATGATCATATATGTCATTAAGATATATTACTATAAATTATTCATTAATGCATCTTGGGATCCCTTTTTATTATTGTATTAATGGCATTGCTGGTGGCCCCCCGGAAAAAAAAAAAAAAATGAATGAATTATTGTGGCGAGACCAAAGGGTAAAACGCGGGTACTTCTTTTGGGAGAACTCTAGTTTTTGTCTTCATATGACATATATGACGAGAAATTTTATAATATACTAAGAATAGCTAGTGACGTATACGAGTAATTACTTTATGAGTTTATTTTGAGGAGAGAGGTAGACATAAAAAAAGATAAAAATTATATCTATATCCATCAAAAGTGCTTAAGAAGATTTCCACATACTCTCAAATTTTTTTATTTTCTCTCTCCTGTTTCTTTTTTTTTTTTATATATATGTTTATCTCTCTCCTCAAAGTGGGCCCATAAAGTAACTATTGTACATGTCATTAATTACTCTTGGTGTATTATAAAATTTCTCATCATTTTAGTATTTTTCTCTTATTTGTTTTTATCCATCTTTTCCCTAAGGATTAATTTTAACTTATTCCCCCTTAGTTTAATAAAATTAATTAATTTTTTATTTTATCTTTAAAAATTATTTTGTGTGTGTCTCAAAGAAATTATTTTTTTATTTATATTTATCTCAAAATATTTATATGATCAAGGTTTTTTATATTATATTTTTTAAAAATACTTTTGCTTCGTAATAAAATGATATGATATTATAATTGATAAGTATTTTAAACCACGTGAAGAAAATTAAAAAATAACTATTAATTTTTTATCAAAGAGAGTACATTATATGTATGACTCCATTTATAATTTAGTTTTCAACAATTTCATGATATTTTTTAATTTACCTTTTTCTATTTTATCAAGAAATTGAAAAAAGAAAAGAGAAGTAAATAAAGTGAGAAAAATTAACATGAAAAGTTTCGTAATCTCGGAACCAAAATTGAGAACCATCAACATTAATTAAGGAATCACTTAATTATTTTTTATATTATAAAGACCAATTAATTAGTTTGATAAACTGCAAAGATTAAGATATAAATGACTCAAATAAATTATATTTGTAGCTAATCCTAATGTATCATCACGGAAGTTGATCCGTCAAATGTCAATTAATTTCAGTAAACAAAGTTCGTCATCTTTTTGTCTTCGTTGGGCCTTGAGCAGTCCAACGACCTGCTGTAAAAACCATGCTCCTTGACGCAGACTGCTAGAGGCTAGTACTGAGATACCAGCGTGGGCATCCGAAAAGACTGCCGTATGATTAGAGGACTTTAATGTTACTTAGGGATGATAACGGAGCATATACTTGATCCATTAATTTAAATTTGTATCTTATTCATAAAAAAATATTTTATTTATTATTTATTAAAAGATGACTATATAAATTTTTATCCAATCTATGTTAATTTATCCTTCCATTTAATTCTCGCTAAAATTAATTTATCAAAACTATTTAGGTTACTCTTTATAATTTTTTTAAAAATTTTTGGTCCTTAAATTTGAATCTTATTCATAAAAAAAAATATTTTATTTATTATTTATTAAAAGATGGCTATATAAAATTTTATCCAATCCATGTTAATTTATCCTTCCATTTAATTCTCGCTAAAATTAATTTATCAAAACTATTAAGGTTAGTCTTTATAATTTTTTTTAATTTTTGGTCCTTAAATTTTTTTTGTTTTGCATTTTGGTTATTTATCTATAGGTTTTTTGGGTTCTCAAAGTTTTTTTTTAAAATATTTTAATCCTTAATTTTAAAATTTTTATACAATTAGATCATTCTATGTTAATAAAAAAAATCAAAATAGATTAGTGAGTATTAATAGGATACAAAGTAGATATCCGTACCTTGAAACCATATTAGTGAGTATATATATTTTTAACCTTAACCACTTTAATATCTATTAGATATTTTTTAACTAATATTTATTAGATCGGATAAAACGGATATCTATTTTATATCCGACCTATTGCCATCCCTAATGCCATTGGTCACTATATCACGTTGTGTTGTTTTGATCCTTCGGCCTATTGCCATCCCTAATGGCATTGGTCACTATATCACGTTGTGTTGTTTTGATCCTCAATTGTGTGTCGTTTCTTTCCATTCCAAGGATGCAAAATAGATTTAGTATTTATTAAGAAAATAATATAAAACTATTTCTAAGGTCTCATTGAATAATTAAAGTTTTTAAATTGAAATGATTTTTTGATATGATATCAATCTCGTTACTCTCATTTTTTCTTCTAGTTAAACACAAAGTAATAGTAGACATGCATAAGTTTTAAGTGGTTTATAATTATAAATAAATAAATAAAATCTAAAACATTGGTAATCAAGCACAAAATAATAATAGGTATGTGCAAACTTTTTCTTCTAGCTAAACACAAAGTAATAGTAAACATGTGCAAGTTTCAAGTGGTTTATAATTATAAATAAATAAATAAATCTAAAACATAGGTAATCAAGTACAAAACAATAATAGGTATGTGCAAGCTTCAAGTGATATATATATATTTTTTATGGTATCATCTATAAATAAATAAATAAAATCTAGTTGACATGTGCAAATTTCAAGTGGTTTATAATTATAAATAAATAAATAAATAAATCTAAAACATAGGTAATCAAACACAAAATAATAATAGGTATGTGC